TTTCATATGCTGATATCAAATTGATTTTTAAAAACGCGGTATCGACCTCTTATACTTTCAAAATCTTGTGAAATTTCATCGTTGTGTTACAAACTCTCGTGATATTTTGCAAATTTTTGTGAGATTTTGTTAGTAAAATAGATCGATACCGCGTCAATATATCAGCATATAAAAATGTGGCAACATTTCGTGGATTTTTGGGGGATTTCGTAGCATAACGATGACATATAGCAATATTTCATTAGTAAAAGAGATTGATATGGTGTTTTTAAATGGCAATATATCAGCATATGAAGATATTGTGATATTTTAATGTATCAATATTTTTTCCCTCGTCTTTAGAAGTTTTTAAGTCTGTAAAAAAGAAGTTTTTGAGGAAGAAGAAGAAGTATTTTTTTTTTAGACTTCAGAAACTCAGAAGCTGATCAAATATCGGGTTAAATGTCGGTGGGGTGGCCGATGTCCGATATTCAGTTTTAAGGCCGATACAGGCCGATACCGATAGCGGGCCGATTATATCGTGCATCCCTAATATTCCTATCCTCCCCTATGTGAGAATGGGTTCCAATTTTAAAAGAATATAATATAATCCAAAATAATTAATCTGAAAAAAGAAATTCACCTAAATAAAATTCCAAAATATGAAACCTTTAAAAATTTTTTACAAAAAATATTTAAAAAAAAATCTGATGAAAAAATAAAATATAAGAAAACAGAAAAAGTTACTCTCAAACCTGTTATGATTAGGAAGTTTTTTTTAACTTTCATTCCTGGATTGCATTTTTTCCCCAAGACTATTTTAAAAACATGTTCTTTGCTTGTTGCAACAATATTGAAACAAAATTCACTCCATACAGGTTTAGATTCAGGAGTTGATTTACTTGTGAACTAATATTATTTTATCCCACTTCTAAGTAAGGGTATTTAACTCTGCTAAAAGTAGTATCTATGCAGCAGCAAGCACTGCACTGCCGTCACAATGTGTATGATGTGACATTTGATTAATCTTCATCCTGATTGAAATAAACCAGGTGATGCTGATGACATCAGGAGCTCCGTTTTAGGAATAAGTAGCTTTCCGTTTGTAGATCGAATCCTGCAGAGACTGTCAGAAATAACCACCTCTGTCATCCCTCCCAGCTAATTTTATCTCACCTCAGTATTGTTATGCAATGAAACACTCAGAACCCCGTCCTCTTACAAGCTCTCTAGTGAGCATACATTTTGAGGAGGCCGGGTGAGTAAGCATGACACTAGCTGACTTCAAACAGCGCCGTGGAAAAGGCAGCAGAGCTTCAACATGACAGGTTATCTGCAGGGCAGGTGCAAGTCAGCAGGAGGGCCCCATTTGGGTCCAAAAACCTGGATTAGTTCATCTCAGAGGGTAAGGGAGCTCTAATCTGATCACCTTTTATCTGATCACAGCATAAAATTTATATTTGATAAACCTTTGGATTTCTAAAAAACATCAGCATGAGTGGGGTCGGCACACACTGATATCAGGCGTATATCTAAGATGGCATTTCAGACACAAGCTTGACAGATACATGGTGGTAAAGGTGATTTAGTTTGAGCTGCTTTCTCTCCTCCAGGGCTGCTGACACTGACTCAGTGCTTCAGCTCTAAATCCGCTCTCACATTCCCCTCAGATGCATGACAGCAAAGCTAACAGTGTGTGCATGAGAAGCTAACTCACAGACACCCTGTTAAATAGCACCTGGTGATCGTTTCAGAAAACAGTTGTATCATTGTTTTTATGATAACTGACCTAAAGTTGGTGTTTTTGTCTGTGATTGTGCTTTTTGTCTTCAACAGATGAATAAAGATATATTTCAGTTTTCACAGATTGTTAAATATCTGTATATGCATTTTTCTTTTTAGTCTTTTCTATTTACCATTACGAAATCCTAAGCAGTTGCCTATGGCCCCAAGTTCCTGGGGGCCCCATAAAACTCTGTTTACATGTATAGTTAATACAACTATACACATTCTATCTTACCTCCGTATATTGCAGGGATCACATCACAACAACTATAAAAACCCATGGAGCAATTAAAATGTTTGCACACATAACTTATATGGATAGAGACACACACACACACACACACAAAGATAGCAACCTTGTTACACAATAAAATAAAAGGGGGAAAAAAAGAAATTAATTGCAGTATCATTTTATTTTAAGGATGAGTAGTTTATTCTATATCAGTATGTAATCTATTGCAATTGACTTTTCTTTGTTCATCTGTTGAAACTGTTGGGGGCCACATGGGTGTTCCTGTGAAATAAAGTGGGGCCCAACAAGAAAAGTTTGGAAATCACGGCCAAAAACAAACAATGAGATTGTCCAGTCAAAGGGTATTAAAGTCAGAGGGTCCCAAAGTAGGGATTGGGACCCGCAAACACCCAATAAGGTTTCGCAAGAAGTTTTTTTGTTTGTTGTTTTTTACAGTCATTGTGATGTAATCTCTGAGGTCTAGGGAGGGTGAAATATATACAATAACATACATTAATGTGAACTTTCTAAATAAATAAGTAGATATAACATTCATTTATTTTAATACATGATTCAAACATCAAATATACTGATAGGTTTAAAATACAAATACAAAATACAAATACAAAACACAAATATTCAAATGTCCCAGAAAATAATTTAAAATATGCCTCTCATAATTTAAAATGATGACTAAAAATATTAGTTTTTTAACATTAATGTCGTTTTTTCACTTCATGTTTACAAATAAAAACCTATATGTGCATTAAGGAGGTCAGTTGAATTGTAATTTTTTTGGGGGGTTTACAGGCTGAAAATTTTGGGAAACCTGGATTTTAATGAACAGAGCCAGAAGAGAACACCCTATTTATTGGTTTCCTTTTTGGTCTGTCACTTCAAAATCCAAAATGAGGAACATATAGTTTTACCAGCTGGTTCCATTTTTGAGTCTTTAACATAAAGCAGAAATCCATCAGCAGAGCTGATCTGTTATCAGCAGGAACAGCTGCAGTTTCTCCAGCAGCTCCTTTGTTTTAAAAAAAAATCCCTTCCACATTTGATTACAGACACAGAGAGAGAGAGAGAGCTGAAGGGAAGAACTGCAAAATAATCATTTAAGGTTTTTATAAAGAAAAAAAAAGTGAGCTCTTTTACAGAATCCAACTCATTTTTTTCTGTCCATGCAGAGCTGGCTGAGGAATAATGTTCCTGTGAGGCAGACATTGCAGAGATCCTCTCTACCCACGCACAACCTGACAGAGACACTGAGTCTACTTTGCATCTGCCCACTGTGGCACCCATAGCCTCTTCAGACTACCTCATTTAGTCTGCAGCCACATGTTTCCAAAAGATCTACGTTTCTACTTTCTTTTTTTAAAGAAAACACCTCATTAGATTCCCAACAGATCATAAGCAGCAACATTTCCCCTCCCCATGACTTCCCTACCAAGCTACGGATCAATCTGTTCCCAACATATGAGCTTTAATTCATATTAAGCCTGTTTGTCTGTAATTATCTTCTGGGAATGTGGAGCTGAGGAGGAGGAGGAGGAGGAGGAGGAGGAGGAGGAGGAGGAGGAGGAGGAGGAGGAGGAGGAGGAGGAGGAGGAGGAGGAGGAGGAGGGAATCTTCTGGGTTCCTGGACGCAGGGGCGGAGCTAGATGCGGGGCCAGGGGTGGCCATGGCCACCCTTAGCCAATCATTGGCCACCCTTGTGGCCACCCCTACCATTTCTTTCCCTCTAATAAAGATGGCGGCAACAGTAATACTCTAAAGTGGAATATTCAAAACCTTTCATTTTTCATAACCACAAAAACACTGTGGTTAATTATGCACATCAATATACTAACATTAAAGATGATAAGTATGGAATTTATCCACTTTTCAGAACTAGATTTTGTTTTATATGGGGTAAAGAGAAACGATGTGTTTCTGCAAGTTATCTAGGGATCTTCAGTAAAATCATAGATAAATAAGTATTTGAATAAAAACTTATTAAATAACCAATTATGTAGATACTAGTAATTGTAAATATCAATTTATGCAAAGTGATTATTGATAAAAGTAGGTAAGTAATAATAGAAAAGATGTTTGCCCCAGAACTCAGACCTGAAAGATTTTTATCCAGCTTATCTTTTATCTAGAAAGCATGAATGTTTTTTTTTTTTATTAGCTAAAGGCTGTAGGAAATTATAGTTTTTCTTTATTTAGAAAGTATGGACTTGTTTGTTAATTTTCCTGTGGGAACAGTGTAGATTGACCCTGAGGTTATGGCGTCTATCCACTTTTGGCCACCCCTCAGTGTACATCTGTATAGAAGCCTGTTTCCACCACTCTGTTAGAAAAATAATTCTCTCATTATAATGAGTTAATATCTCACTATATTGAGATAGTAACCAGAGATGTCAGGTAACGATATACAAGTACTTCGTTACTGTACTTAAGATCACTTTTTAGGTACCTATATTTCACTCTGAGTTAATATTTCATTACAATGAGATAATTTTATTCTATTTTTCTTAACAGAGTGGCAGAAACGGGCTTCCATACGTAGGTTATAGCCTGGCCACCCTTATAGAAATGTTCTAGCTACGCCTCTGCCTCTTCATCTTCAGGATGTGACTGAACAGAGAACTCCACAGGCTTATTTTAGGAGCTTTTTGAACATTGTGCAGCCATCACTGCAGATTGCAGGGAGGTGGGGGGTCCCTGTTAGGACAGGGGGGTCCCTGTTAGGACAGGGGGCATGCAGGCTGGGGGGGTCCCTGTTAGGACAGGGGGCATGCAAGCTGGGGGGGTCCCTGTTAGGACAGGGGGTCCCTGTTAGGACAGGGGGCATGCAGGCTGGGGGGGTCCCTGTTAGGACAGGGGGCATGCAGGCTGGGGGGGTCCCTGTTAGGACAGGGGGTCCCTGTTAGGACAGGGGGCATGCAGGCTGGGGGGGTCCCTGTTAGGACAGGGGGCATGCAGGCTGCATGCAGGAGATAGATGCAAACACACTTACTTGCCAAGCTCCTCGTACAGCTGGTACTCATCTGTAAAGCGCGTACAAGTGGTGGTTGCCATGATGTTGCTCGGTTTGGATGGATGCTGCTGCTGATGCTGCTGATGGTGAGTGAGTGAGTGAGTGAGTGTTTGTTTGTGAGGGAGGGAAGTCCCGAAATGTTCGCTCCCTGCTTTATCTGCCGACCTCTTTGGGGGGGGCTTCAGTCCCCGCCCACCTGAGTGGTTCAGCTGCAGCCCGGTGCGCCTCTCACGGTAACCCACCCCCCCAACAACCAGCGCGGTTCCAGCACCAGCGCGCCTCTCCTCGCGCTCCTTAAATACCAGCAGAGAGGCGCACCACATGACGTGATGCTCCAGAGAGAGAGAGGCTCTGGAAACAGGAGGGACAGGAACGTGATTAGAAATGATTATTTTTATTATTCCACAGTAAACCAAATATATCAGGAGGTAAATAAGATTGTGTTTCAGGTCAGGGATCTTTTTATTTCATTATTTGCATCATTGCAGTGAGGATGCTGCAGGGATCTATTTTTAGACTTCAGCGAGGAAAACCCTCCGAGTTTCAACAGAGGAATCTCTCCAAGAACTAGTTCAGGATTTCTTTGTTTCATTTAGTTATAAAGAAATAAAACTATTTATCAAAGTTGAGTTTATTGTTATTTATTGTTGTTATTATTTGACAGGAACCAAATGCAGACACAAAAAGCTGAAATGATTTCTTGAATATTTTATTAACCATAAGTCCAACAGAAGTAATAATGCGAAACATAAATCCACAAAAACTGAAAACCAGGAATAGTCCCAAGAAAGGGGCAAAAAAATGACAACAAAGAGTGACTGAATAGGAGGAGAATAAATGGGAGAGAAAAACAAAGACCAGGCCAATTAGTAGATTGGGAGCAGGTGTGAACAGAGGAGACTAGAAGGGAGCTAGGGGAAAAGGAGACTGACACAAGAGGGCAAACAAGAAATATGTAGCAACTTAAATACAATCAGAAAATGGAAATAAGACCAATAAAAACTCAGAGATAAATCTTGATCACAACCAAAACCATGACAGAATGAATGGAGGTGTCATGATGCCTTTAAGTGATCTGACCCACATGCAGAAAACCGGGGGAAAGTTTAACAGGTTTATTGAAGAGAACAACAGGAAGTTGAATCTGGAACTCAGAGAGCCGATGAACCGGAACTAGAAGTGAGAAGGGAAGTTCACAGCGGTTAATTCAGTGGCCATAGGAAGACTGGATAGAGTTCTTGAATATAGAGGAATTGGGACTCATGTTGGAGGGGGCGACAGTCTTTCCCTTGAATCCAGAACGTGTGGGTTTATCCAGAGGAAGGGCAACTCACTGGAGGGCCGACTGATTGGTTTAGGTTCAAACCTGAGGAGCCATTGAGCGGACTGCCACTTGGAATTCCGAGGGAACTTGAATGGGTCGTGTGGAGTTTTTTTCTCCAGTGTGAACACAAAAGATCCTTCCAGGGGGAGAAGGCCAATCCAGTGTGAGAAATTTGAGAAATCCAGTTTGCAGGAAGGCTTCCTGCCGAAAGCCAAAGACATAAACAATGTTAAAACTCAGAGAAACTAAGGCTCAGGTTAGACTCAGCTAATCTCAGCTTGGCTAGAGTACCCAAAGCTGGCATCGAGGTAGTGACAGCCCACAGCTCAAATACTCCTCAGTAATGAACCAACGAGCCGCAGGTGTGCAGGAGGACCAACGAGGACAGGGCACCACCTGGTGGTGGAGGGAGAGACAAACACAAAACAACCCACACAAACTGGATTCCTAACAGGAAGTGGGTAATAGAAGTTCTATTATAAAATCTGTGTCACTAATAACCCTTTATATCCTGAAATCCAGGATAAAACCTTATTAACTTTGTAACATGAAAAAATATGGGTATTTGGATGGCAAAAATGAATGTCAATGTAATAACATGAAACACCAACTTGTCCTGAATATATTAAGAAAAATGTTTCTATAAGAAATTTATGAAAAACACTGAGAGTTAAAGAAACATTTTTTTTGGTGCAACAGGGTGTATCTTTGTGATGAAAGTTAGTGGGGCGTCTGAGGGTGGGGGCTGATAGAGCTATTGTTAAAAGACACAAACACTTTAAATTGGGTTTATATTTTCCAATAATAAACATATATTTATTGAATGCTTTCCTATTGTTGAGAACACAAAAGAACCAAAACACACAGATATTTATATTTATAGGTAGTTAGACATTAATGTATATAAAAACGAAGAATAACAGCCGATTCCGATGCCAACAGCAATATATCATGCCTCCCTAGTATGCAATTTCAGTTTAATCCATCCATCCAGAAAAAATATGGATGATAATTAAGACAGTTCCTCTTAACTGATATACAGTTATAATCTTCATTCTGTACGTGGCAAAGATTTGGGAATGGAATGAGAGCGGCGTCCTTCAGCTAAGAAGGAAGTGTAATATTTTGATAAGGCTGGAGCCATGGATGTCAAATCATCTGGTAACGAGTATGATGTAATGATTTAATGATGTGGCAGACTGGAGATGTATAAAATGCCTCTTTACTGTTAATCGGGGCATTACCTGGCTTTATACTTTATAAGAACAAGTATAAAGCCTCTTTTTTCCAGATAAAGGCAGCTGCCTTCTGTAACTCTAAGCAACTTCTCTGATCTGAGTAAGATTACAATTTCTATCAGAATCTGTTCTCTGGAAAAAGGATCTAGAAATAAGTGAACTATTTCTTAAATTAACAGTATTTACCCTTCATTTGAGTAGGTAAATGAGATAGTTTGCCAATGGGATGAGTATTTTTAACTCTTAAAAAAAGATAATATGCTCCTGAAATAAGACAATGCAATTGTTTTTTCTTATTTTAAGTGTAGATTGTCTTGTTCCATTGGCAAAATGTATTTTTTAGCTCCTCAATTCAAGAACAAGTGCACTTATTTTAAGAAAAAAATGACTTATCTAGATTATGATTTTTTTCCAGTGTTGTCATGTTTCCTGGTTATTTAATACATATAAGTTATGAAGTGTTATTTAAAGTACTTTCAGTACTGCAAAAAATTATCTAAAAATAAGTAAAAATTTCCTAAATTAAGTGTATTCACCCTTAATTTGAGAAGGTAAATGAGATAGTTTGCCAAGGGAATGAGTATTTTTACTCCTAAAATAAGATAATTAGATAATATGCTCTTGAAATAAGACAATGCAATTGTGTTTTCTTATTTTAAGTGTAAATTGTCTTGTTCCATTGGCAAGATGTCTCTTTTACCTGCTCAATTCAAGAACAAATGCACTTATTTTAAGAAAAAACTGACTAGTGTAGGTTTAGATTTTTTTGCAGTGAGAAGTTTGTATTCTGAAAGTGACCAGACTTCTCCTTTAAGGAAACTTTTGCTACCTGAATATTAATCGATTAATTGAAAAATAATCGAGAGATTAATCGATTTGCAAAATAATCATTAGTTACCGCCCTAATGTTTTTTTTTTCTTTTTTTTTTTCACATTGGATCTTGAACTTTTCTTCATCATTTCCACAATTCACTGGGATGTGCGAAGTGGCTTAGTAAAAGTAGGCTACACCCTTGTTTACCCCCTGCTCACATGTGCATTATCTGGCTTAATTTATAAAAAAAAATCTGAGCCAAAGCATAGATCACAAAGATAACACATAAATTGTTTTCAATTGAGTTTATTTATATAGTTCCAGTTCACAACACATGTCATCTCAAGGCACTTTACAGTTCAACCAGATCATACAGTCAAAATGATACAAAGTTTTCTATCTATGGAAAGCCAGTTGATCGTATCGAGTCATTGACCTGAAGGTAATCCCTCACACTAAGCATGCTTGTAGCGACAGTGGAGAGGAAAAACTCCCTTTTAACAGGTAGAAACCTCCAGCAGAATTGGACTCAGTGTGAGCGGATGAGGGTTAGGGTTAACAGGAGCACATGAGGCAAAGCTACTATGAGAAAAAGCAGAGAGAGCAAAACGTTAGAGATTAAACTAACAGATTCTGCAGAGTGGGAGAATAGAGATAAAATGAAGCAGAATGATGAAAAAGGGGTCCCTATGTCCTCCAGCATACGAAGCCTATAGCAGCATAATAGCTCAGGATACCAGTTGAGCCACTCTAACTATAAGCTTGATAAAAACATGCTAATGTTTCAAGGAAACCTTAGTAAGGTATTGGTTGTGACTATGCACATTTAATTCAATTCAATTCAGTTTATTTATATAGCGCCAAATTCACAACACATGTCATATCAAGGCACTTTACAGTTCAACCAGATCATACAGTCAGATTGATTCAAAGTTTTCTATCTAAGGAAAACCAGTTGATTGCATCGACTCATTGACTCAAATACAATCCCTCATACTAAGCATGCTTGTAGCGACAGTGGAGAGGAAAAACTCCCTTTTAACAGGAAGAAACCTCCAGCAGAACCAGGCTCAGTGTGAGCGGCCATCTGCTGAGGCCGACTGGGGTTCTAGGAGACAGAGGCAGAGACACAAAAAGCAGCTGTAAAAGGCGGCCCCATCCAGGAAACACACAGCCAGGCAGACGAGCTCCGAGCCAGCTCCCATGCCAGAGGACGAAGAGAGCACATCCACTCAGTCACGGTCAGAGAAACAGGACCACACTGGAAAACAGGCCGATCTCCAACATCTATAAACAAAGGTGTTGATGGAAGCAGCATAGCTGATATTTCTTTCCAGGATGACGTCACAGCCAATCAGATGATTTAAGGGGTGCTGAACACAATTACACTTGTACTATTTTCCTCAAACTTCACAAATATGTAATTATATGTAATAAAAGACACTTCTGTGCCTCACAGAGTACAAACACTTTTGAAATGAATTGCAACTAGTAGCAAAAATGACCTGATAAGAACTGCTCCTGTAAGCTAACAGCTAGGGCTCATTACTGAACTCATGATTGCTTCCAGTTTACTACTGGCAGAGCAAACAAGGCTCCCAATCTGGTTATATAAGGACCAAATGGCCCACAGCAGGGGGCCCAAAACAACATATGAGTGACTCGGGACATAAGCTGTCTTCAGCTCAACAAAACAGACAGAATCTTATTTCAAACTTCAACCCATCCTTAGATATTCATGCCAAAAGAACTGCTTCATGTTTTACAATCAGACAAATAACAGACTTTTTCTTCATGATTAGACTTTCAGTTTAATTCTCCTCTAAAAGGCTGGAACTTTTATTTCCTCCTGCTTATTTTCTTTGATGTACTTTAGAGAGAGGAAGAAGATTATGTGGTTACTGGACAATCAATCTGTCTACCCATTCCATTGTCTTCCACTTATCCAGTATGGAGTCATGCAGGGATTTCATGTCCAGGAGGTAACCCCGGACATCCCATCGCAGGCCACACCCACCAGCTCATTCTGGGGAAACCCAAGGTGATCAGATAACATATGTGTTTCCTCTGGTGATGTCTGGGTACGCTTTCAGTGAGGCAGCCGCTCTGATACAGACTGCTGGGCTCTGATGTCAGTGAGCGCCAGCTGGGATCAAGGTCAAAATGAAGCAGACTGGATATGGAGTGAAATTTGTCTCATTATTGTTGCAACAAGCAAAAAAAAACAGATTTAGTGAAGGGTAATTTCAAAAGGGCCGCCCAGAAACAAAACTTTGAAAACTTCTTAACCGAAACAAGGTTTTGAGTGTTGCTTTGCTGTTTTCTCAGATTCAATTTTATACATTTGATTTCTTTATTTTTTCTTATAGATTTTACATTTTCAAAGTTTATTTCTTTTAGTTCTCCTTTTCAGATTGAGTATTATAAATTGCTTTCTTTTCCAATTGTGTTTTATAGATAATCTTTTCTTCGCTTCAAAAGTTATTTTATTTTTTTTCTCTAAGGCACTTTTTTTTCCAAATATGCATTAAAAATGTATTCCTGATTGATGCAACAATAAAGAAACAAAATTTGACCCAGAACTTGTTTCAGCGCCTATTTTTTTTTTTTGGGGGGGCCACTCCTCAGTACACATTGGTCCCTGCCTGGCCACTGTGCCTGTTACATATTATGGGCCTTGTGGTATTTAATCTGCAAGCATAAAATGTTCGAAATACACATGGAGAGTAACTTACAAGGGTGTTTTCTTTAATGTTCTGCTTGTGCATTTTTGGCAGAATTCTGCAGAGCTAAACAATCTGAACAAACAAATGCCCAGTAATATTGAAATAGCACCCATGGACCCAGTTTAGCAAATGAAAACTGTGATGCATTCTCAATAAAGCTGAAGCTAAAAGTGCAACATGATCAATTTCATAAAAAAAAAATCATTGTTAAAGTAAAATTGCCAAATTAAAAATAAAATAAAAATTGGTTCCATTGATGTACCGGTTGAATTGTGGCACAAAAAAATACATTTACACAATTAGGTCCCAAAATAAGCAGATTAGGTGAGAAGCTCGCAGATTGAAAGAATATAGATAATATGTAGCAGCTAACAGACATCTATCAACTGCCATTAAGCGTTTATATGGATAATAAAGTCTGTATGAAGAATTTTTACCAAGAGTGGAAAAACTATCAATTATCTAATCAAGAGACCACTACAAACGTTTATACATTAAAAAGTAAGGAATGAATACCCAAAAAATGAAGTGTAGTTTTTTATTCAACAAATAATTAGTATTTAACTCAAAAAAGATCATCCTGCCCTCTATTTTCCGTAATAGAGGAGCAAATGTCTGCATATTTACAGCGTCAGCAGCTTACCGTAATCACTGAATGGAAATTGATGAACTATGGAGTTAAATCTGCTCCATTATTGTTGCAGACAAAGACAAACATGTTCCGTAAATGGAAATTTAGAAAAAAGGAAACCCAGAAATTTAACTCTGACATCTTGTTAATCAAACAAAGGTCATGAGAGACACTTGACTGTTTTCTCAGATTTTATTTTTTCAAAAAGATTTTATCTTGGTTTCATGTTTTATTTTTTTCACATTTTTTAACATCAGCTTTAATGTTTTTATATATTGAAAATTGATGTTTTTTTTCCAAATTGATCTTTACGAGATGCATTCCTTTTAAAATTGTATTTCTAGATCACTTCCTCTTCACGTAAAGCGCAATAAAAATGTTGCTATCGTTCATGCAGACCAATAGAAACGCGTCGACTCTCCTCAGATCCTCACTCCAGGAGGGGAAAAAATTGGATCTCTGAACAGAATTTTAAAAGAATGCAATTTGAGAAACTCAATCTAAAATATAGAAATGTGAAAAACAAAATTTGAAAAAAACAACAACATTTTTTTCGATAATAATTCGCTTGAAAAATCATAATTTGAAAAAAAAAAAAAAATCTTTTTTTGATGAATTTTTTATGTTTTATTTCTGGATTGAATTATTTTCTATTTCCATTTGCTCTTTATAATGAATTATGGCTAGAATTTAAAAAAACCTGCCAGATAAAAATGATCCAGGAAATAAAATGATAAAAACAGTTAAGTAAACAATATATTTGTAATAAAAAGTTTCATAAAGTCATTTTCTGCATATAAACATTCACATCTGCAGAAGGACTCTGCTAAATCTCCTGAAACTTTGGTTGTAAATTAAATAGCAGACATGGCAGCAAACTGTTCAGCATTGTGGGGAGTGGAGGGTAAAAAAGAATGAAATCCTAAAACAAAAAAATAGGCAGAGAGGAGCTCAATAAATAACACCCAAAAAAAGAAACATGTTTATTCTCCCAAAACATCCAGGTTTGACAGCAGAACGCGCCCTCATCACTCCTCTCCCTCCTCTTCTCGATGCGCCGGGCCTCTCAGAAGGCGAGTCGGCCCAGTTTGAGGCGCCTCTCAGAACTGCACGGCGCTGGGCGGGATGTCGAACATGGACGGGTCAAACTCCTCCCCCTGAAACGGGGAGCCTTCTGCATCCCAGGCTCTCTTCAATATGTCATGCACTTTCTAGAATCAGGCAAAAAAAAGACAGAAAGACAAATGTTTTACTCAATTCTGAGCCGTTTCTTACATCAGAGAGAGAGAAAGAAATCTGATCCTGCTTCATGTATTAGGAAGAGACGTGGATCACTGCAGAGGCTCAGACAGAATTCAACAATAAGCCTGAAGGCTGAGCTTGAAGGTGGAAACAAACAGAAAGGAAGACAATTGAACATACACACATACATACATATATTATATATATATATATATATATATATATATATATACACACTAGGGCTGTCAGTTTTAAAGCGTTATTAACGCGTTAACTGCTTTAGACTATAACGCCGACATTTTTTTTAACGCACGTTAATCGCGCATCAAAACAAACGCACCGTTCGCTTGTAATCTTTATTTTTCCGCAGCGCTCTCTGTACTGTTTGTTTTATCCTTGGCGCTTTCCGTAGCTTCAGGAATGCTAAGTTTGCGGGAGAGTCCGCAGCATAACAGACCCGTGCTTTGAATGGGCAAAAATGGCCAGCAGACAAGGTATCCTGAATGATACGTTTTTTTTTTAAAGTTATGCCAGAAGGCTCTCTTGACAAAACCCGAGTCGTCTGTGTGTGTTTTCCAGAAGAAACGAGCGTCTCACTGGCTTAGTGCCACCAAGACAAAGAAATGAACTGAGTCATGTGGAAGGCGCTGCTGCTGCAGCTCCTGTTCAGACCAAAGGAATATTAAAGCATTTTGAAAATGTTCTACATGTAAAATGTTATGTTGCTGAGATGCCTGCAAAGCCCTGTTATTGTAATTTCGTTTGATTGATTTATTATTTTGTGAGTAACTTAATTTCATTTGAATTAAATCTGTACTTCATAACGGAATGTGCACTTTATTTTAAGAGTACATCTTTATTTTTGTCCTATGTTTGAGAAAAAACTTAAGCTTATAGAGTACTTTGAAGTACTGTTTACTGTTCTGTAGTTTCGTAAAGTTTTAATGGAAGCATAACGCCTAATTTAAAATGTAGAATTTAAACCAGGACATTTTTATTGTAGTGCTTGAAAAATAATGATAATAAAAAAATAAAACTTTCTGTTTAAGCATGTGTTTTTTTTACATTTTTGCATAATTGCTTTTTTAAATGGCCAAATAAAAAAATAAATAAAAAAAGATAAAATATGCGATTAATTTGCGATTAATCTCGAGTTAACTGTTGATAATATGCGATTCATCGCGATTAAAATTTTTAATAGTTTGACAGCACTAATATACACACACACACACACATCTATATATATATATATAGAAATATAAAGACATATACATACGTACATATGTAAATACATACATACGTACATACATACATATATATACACATACATACATACATATACACACATACATACATACATATACACACATACATATATACATATACATACATAATCAGATAGCTTCAACTGTCTGATTGCGTTGTGGCGTGGAATAACATAGCAAACACCACACTTCCATATTGGTATAAGAATATCTGCAACAAGCTCACTGCGACTCACTGCTGCAGGAGGATAACCAGCCCTGAAGTCTGAAGTCTAGCAGGCGTCCAACAGCAGGATCAGGTAGGTGCATTAAAAGACAATCCTACCCAAAAATCACTAAATAAATATTTCATAGAGTTTTGTGCCTATATTTTAAAACCAGGAGCAGGTATGGAAAGCCCAAAGTGCCACACATTCAATTCTATAAAAAGTGGTCATATTTCTATCAGTAAATGTGAACATTTTCATTTTATATGTCGTTAATGTTCTTTATCATATCCTAAGGAAACAGATAAAAGATTGAAATGTTTGTAAGTAAATATCCATGTTTTTATTTGGTCCTGTTTGTGTTACGTTCTGCTGAAACCTGCTTCCTCACCCTTTCGTGACTCTGCGGTTTTCCCTGCTGCTTCTGGTGATAGTCAAAGGTGAGCCTGTCCAGGACGGCATGCTCCTCCTCGTCAACCGTTGCCATGGAGCGCTCGCGGTTTATCTGGTTGATGTCGATCTCCTCTTCTCCTTTCAGTACCGCGTTCCACCACACCTCGGAGGTCTTGTTGAGGGACAGCTGAGAGTGGAATGCGTGCCATTAACGATGAGCTGAAACGCGGCGGCCATCGGTGGAAAGGTAACCGAGCACTTACCAGAACGCACTTCCCAGGTTCCAAACTCCACAGCGAGTCCTCTGTGTTGATCTTGTGCGTGAACTCTCCCTCCATCAGCACTTTCTCCTCCGCTCCTTCCTTCACGCTCACTCGCAGGCTGCCGCTCTGCAGGTTGACGCTCACCTGAGGACGGCAGCAGCTGAGAGGTAAGGGGGAGTCCGGATACGTCAGAGGGGGTCAAAACACGCCGTGCTCACCTGTTTGCCCTTTACGACGGTCTTGGGAACAAACGCTCGGACCTCCACGTCAGTGTAGTCCTGAGACCAGCTGTAGTTCTCCCTCACGGCTCCGTTGTAACTATCTGGGTTGGACTGGAAGTCATTCTGAGATCTGAAACACACATTTATCCAAACAGACGGTTAACCCCTTCAGCCCAAAGGCCTCCTTTTAACGGGCTGTTACTTTTTTGCAACAATAAGCTTACAGCCGAGAAACTCTAACCAGGTTTTTAGCTAGCAATGCGAATTGTCGTACTGCTGTTCTTTTTTCATCTCGTTACAGGTGATGAAGCAGACTAAAAATGTTGTCATTGTCTCCTTTCTATCTCCTCTTTCTTTCATCTTTTCTCTTTTTTCCTTTTTCTTCTTCTGTTTTTCTGCTCTATTTACATTGCAGTGTCCATATAAACTGTAAAACTCCCTGCATAATTATAATAAAGCAATTTATACGCATGAAACAAGTGGAACAATATGGCAATTGCCATCCTGCTCCACTTGTGAAAGGAAAATCTGTTGGGCTCTTTTTGGCATCAAGACAATTATTCTTATTGCCACCTTGCCAGACAGGACAATGTATAAAAAAAAAAAAAAGAATTGTCGTACATTTTTCCTTTACTAAAAAAATAATTAATTTTGAGCCCCGTTTTTCCGCTGGAAACTTCACACAATTGTTCGAAATTTCACAAGCAGCAGCTGCTGGAGTTGTGAAAGTTGATCTTTTGCTGCTCTGGGAGCTGGCAGGGAGTCAGACACAGAGCTGCTGATGATCACTCCTCTGAAACAGTTTAACTACTAAATTAACTTAAAATGTCGAAACCTGCCGGCAAAATATGTTTGATTTTATTATTCGGGTGCCTGCAGTTTGAACCACATCCAGAAATACGCTAACATCTAATTCCAGCCGCCACCAACAGTAGGGGAAAATCCCCAAGAGGAAACCGGGCCTGAGGCAGCTGCTGCTGGGGAGTCCTAGTGACATTATATTTTCACAAAATACACAATGTAAAGATTTGTCAAAGTATAGTACAATGTAAAGTTTATTCTCCCTCGAACACAAAAAAATAATGGTGGCCAGGGTAAATGAGGTAAATATAAAAACACACCCATAAATGGAGAAAAACATTTCAAGCAGGATCGTAATCTTGATGAACTTTAGGTGGACTTTTTCGCATAAAAACATATCAAAACTATTTTTCACCAGCTTATCACACCATATATAGTAAAGCCGCTCTGTCATTGAACACACACTGGAAAAACAATCTAAAATAAGTAATACATTTCTTAAATTAAGTATATTTATCCTTGATCTGACTAGCGTGCCAATGACATAACTATTTTTTACTCTTAAAATAGGAAGATAATTAGATAAAATGCACTTGAAATAAGACAATGCAATTGTGTTTTCTTATTTTAAATGTAAATTGTCTTGTTCTATTGGCAAAATGTCTCTTTTACCTCCTCAATCCAAGAACAAATGCACTTATTTTAAGAAAAAATTACTTGTCTAATTTGGATTTTTTTCAAGCAGAAGCATCTAAAAAACACACATCGACCTCCAAAAATGTGAAACTTTGATATTAAGGAGTCTTTTGGATTGATTGAGAACAAAATTGTGGCCCAATAATAAAAATAATCCTCAAAAATACAACTTTCCTAATAATTCTGAACACAGTATATGTCCAGATCTTCACCTTAGACTCTACAGAATTATCTACTTCATTCTAATTTCCACTGACTATAGCTCCAACACTGCCAGAAAGCACTTTATCATCCACTTTGTGTTTCAGTGGACCTCGTTTCAACAACCCATGTAGCGGCGCTGAATGATTCTTCTTCTCTCTGTATTACGGTACTACAGCATGCCCATATTTGGAAACAGCACCTGTGCATAAATCCCAAAGACGTTTTTTTTAATCTCACCTGTGATTTTAGATAGACATCATCTGTCTATCTAAAATTGATGCATATATTTGGATTCTGTAGAGGAAAACCTTTCCAAAGCGCTAAGAAGCTCCCTGATTGGACAAACGGTTATCCAGATAGACCCGCCGTCCTCAGGCATCTTTTTTCTACTGAACTATCTATATATAGTGTGTAATTACAGTGTGTAAAAACATAAAACGTGCGATTTTTGGAAGGAGAACTGCATTTTTTATGACCAAATATATAAAACACTGTTTCAAATTTTACAATTAAAGCAGAAATTCCAAATATCAGCAGTTTTGGGATAGATGCTGCTACATGGCTGTACAGCTTATTTTAGCATTTGACCAATTAGATGAGCCCTTCAATGATATATTACCTACTTTAAATTAAGTTGAAAAAAAGTTAACAAATCAAGAGGGAAAAAAGGTAAAAATGAAAAAGTAAAGCTAAAAAGTTAATAAGCCTGGTTAACAATTATATTTAGGTTTATAAAGTAAAAAATGTAAGTACCAGTATCAGCATTAATGCCTCAAAGGTTAATCTTTGTTTCACCCTCAGAATGTTTTTCATGAATTTCTTATAGAAGCATTTTTGTTATTTTTCTTAATATTTTCAGGCAAGTTGGCGTCTCTTGTTACATTTATATTAATTTTTGCCATCAAAATATCCAAATTATTTGAATGTTACAAAGGTATAAGGTCTTGTCCTGGATTCCAATAACACTATTGGCTTGAAATAGTATTTCACTGAGTGCCATATAAAATATTAAGATACAAACGTTTATTATCTAAATATTTAGGGACTCATTAACTGTTTTGAGCTCAAACTAAACAAGCCTTTAAAACCTTTAGACATTCTGATCAAACTGATATAAACAGTGAATGTTTGCAAGTTTTACCCATCATCCTTTTAGGAGAAACTCTGGAAGCTTAATGAGAAAATCCCTCTCCATCCTCTGATCGCCACAGGCAGATCCTGAACATGAGAGGTAATGCTGTAGCACAAAGCTACCAGTAGAGGGCAGTGTGAGTCCATAGACAGGAAGGGCTGTGAGGAGGTTTAGTTTTCCCAGAGAAAGAAGTTGAGTCCTGTACCCTCTATAAAACACTCTGTGAAATTATTTCATTTTTGTTATGTTACATTTTTTATTTTATGAAATTAAACACTTATTTAACTCAATCATATTCTTTGAGCCAAATCAAGCCACAGCATTAAGATAGAAACTTGTTTCGGTGTCAGGAAAGAACTCAAGTCTCATTCATGTGGATTTTTTCTTTATTTTTAATTTAGAGAAATAAGAATAATATATTTTAAGTTTTTTTTTATACCTTAAGGTGTAACTGATTTTTGTAAACTATTGAATTTTTCCCTTATATTTGTTCTAAAGTGTTTCTGTTTTTCTTTAAAAATGTTCAGCAAAAAAAAGTTGCGTTTAAAGTCGTAAGGAAGTCATATTTAAATGTCAAATCCTTTGGCTTAAACATGTATATGAATGTTCTCTCTATCAGACGATATTTTCCCAAAAGTTAAATTGGGCAGGCCAGATAGGCGAAGGTTGGAACAGCCGCTTTCCTACGACTTTCCTAAGCTTTCAAAATCTGTTAGGGTCAATTTTGAAACAGTTTGGAGAGAAACTATGAAAACATGCCTCGTTCATGCATGATTGATGAATAATGATTTTTTTTTTATTCTACAAATACAAAACTTAGACTGTAACTCTCTCTGCAAATTCACACTTACAAAACACAAATAGTGTTGAAACAAAATAACCTTCATACTGGCTGCCGTTAGCCTCGCAGCTCCGCTGGTTGCCACATTCCTCTCAACACTGGAACTTTTTTTTTTTTTTTATTACGCACTTAAAGGAATAGTACACCCAAAACATGATTAGCCTTCATTTTCTACACACCCCCATGCTGAACAACACTCTGGAGTACTTTTTTGATATCTCAAATGCATCTGGAGATCTGGGAGGCTTCTTGCTGTCTGCTGACATTCAAATAATGGAGGTCTATGGCGCCCGAGACAGAAAGGCCCATAAAAGTCCACAAAAAACGTGTCAATATTCCTCCATACTGCTCGTCCAATGTATTCCAAGTGTCCTGAGTTGGTAGCATCCAGAATTTACTCGAAACGAAGTCATTTAGAATGTTTTTAGAGCATAAACAGTAGTGTATAGGATTTCCTGAAAGCACGTTCACGAGTCTACGGAAACCGCGGCAGACCAAACCAGATGAAAGTGCGCATTCAGCGTCTGCTCTGCCAATAATGCAAGCGTAGAAGAAGAAATGTGCTGTTTACCTGTGCAAAGAAAGAAACAACGAAAGAAAAATGTCTGAGGACTTGAGTGTTGAGGAAGAGCATGAGTTCTTTGCCGAGCTGAATGCGCACTTTCATCTGGTTTGGTCTGCCGCGGTTTCCGTAGACTCGTGAACGTGCTTTCAGGAAATCCTATACACTACTGTTTATGCTCTAAAAACATTCTAAATGACTTCGTTTCGAGTAAATTATGGACGCTACCCACTCAGGACACTTGGAATACATTGGACGAGCAGTATGGAGGAATATTGACACGTTTTTTGTGGACTTTTATGGACCTTTCTGCCTCGGGCGCCATAGACCTCCATTATTTGAATGTCAGCAGACAGCAAGAAGCCTCCCAGATCTCCAGATGCATTTGAGATATCAAAAAAGTACTCCAGAGTGTTGTTCAGCATGGGGGTGAGTAGAAAATGAAGGCCAATCATGTTTTGGGTGTACTATTCCTTTAATCCGTAAATGAACGATATAGTGCCTCTTAAACGTTTAATTTTCTCACCTTAAATGATCTTAAAACATACTTTTGCTGAACAATGGCAACAGAAAAGAGAACTTCTAACTTACTACTCTGAGCTCTGTGAGCGCTCCATTGGAAGCTGCTGCTCTGATGCATGCTGGGTAAATAGGGAGAGGAGAGAACAACATCCGGGGACTTTGTCCGTTCTCTGTCTTCTTGTTCTTGTGAATTGGAACAGTACTAGGCCTGAGGCTGATAATGTTTCACGAGGACACGAGAACTCACAAGTACACATATTGAGAAACGGCCTCTGTATCTCAGCTGAGCGTCTCAGAAAACGGTTCCCTGGAAACTCTTCTTCCACCAAACAGGTCCGACTGGGACGTCGCTCGCTGCTGTAAAGTTAAAGCTTTTTCTGTTTCTCTACTTTTACTGACAACGTGAGACGACTAGCAGCAACTCAGCTGCCCCGTATGGAGAGCCGTTACATTCATAATTAAATACATAAAAAAATAGAAATGATTACATTAAAAATAACTTGTACTCATGAAATACTAGAAAATACTACATAAACATTCATAATGGTGTTTTATTTTGTGACACTTTCATAGTTTCAATCTTTTTCAAGTATTTTTTTTTAACTGTTTCTATTTTCAGGCTCTTTTTATTTCTGTCTTTTATTTCTTGTTCTTATTTTTAAACGAGGGGACGGAGTTTTCTCTTTCCAGTGAGAGCTTCAACTGAAATGGAAGAGTTTGTAATGCCAACAGACTGGATGACAACATTATCTTTAAAAATATTGATAAATATATTATAAAATTAATTAATTTTTAAGTTAAAATTTTTTTTGATATGAATAAAATACCTTAAAATAAACGATTAAAAAAGAATACACCTTGAAGTAAAAAGATATATATATATTAGGAATGGAACGGTTTTTCGTCCGCTTCGACTGTCTCGGTTTGATTCGCGTGTGTTGCGTTCGGTTCATGCGCTGCTCCTTTTTCTCATAGGCGAAGCGTTTACACTCCAGAGCAGAAGGTGGCGGTACTGCGACCAAAGCCAACCACCAGTAGTAAACAAGAAGAAGCGAAGCAGCGTAGCCGGGTGTAGCAGAAAAAAATCAGTTGTTGTGGAGAATTGTGTGGGTATGGCGAGTGGGAAAGAACAGGAGTTGGAAGACGCGCCAGCAGCACTTTATAGGTCTGCTGTATGGGAGCTTTTTGCATTTAGAGTGACCTACGATGACGGCGGAAAGAAAGTTGTGGATAAAAGTGCAACAGTGTGCAACACGTTTTGTTTCTGCTAACAGCAACATGACCAACATGTCAGGCTAACCCCGAAATCCCTCATACTCCGTCAGCGCTCCGCTCCGCTGCGCTCCAGACCGGCTGCTCAAAGCAAAGCCTACAGCCTCCGCTGTGGCTTCATCCGCTCCCCTCTGAGTCCCTTGGAGATCGTAGAGGACATGCGCCAGATGATTAAATTCAAAGCAGCAAAACATACGGAGATGATCCAGGGTTTCCGTGGATCCTTAAAAATAATTACAATTCATTAATTTTTGGGGATTTTTTCATTAATTTCACTAAAAATAAAATTCATTAATTTTTATAAATTTTTTTATTTTTCGGTGTAACAATAAACATATAACGACCACGAAACCGTGAACCGAACCGTGGATTTTGTGAACCGTTCCACCTACCGGCCACTTTATTAGGTACACCTGTCTAACTGCTCGTTAACACTTAATTTCTAAGCAGCCAATCACATGGCGGCAACTCAGTGCATTTAGGCATGTAGACATGGTCGAGACAATCTCCTGCAGTTCAAACCGAGCATCAGTATGGGGAAGAAAGGTGATTTGAGTGACTTTGAACGTGGCATGATTGCTGGTGCCAGAAGGGCTGGTCTGAGTATTTCAGAAACTGCTGATCTACTGGGATTTTCACGCACAACCATCTCTAGGGTTTACAGAGAATGGTCCGAAAAAGAAAAAACATCCAGTGAGCAGCAGTTCTGTGGGCGGAAATGCCTTGTTGATGCCAGAGGTCAGAGGAGAATGGCCAGACTGGTTCGAGCTGATAGAAGGGCAACAGTGACTCAAATAACCACCCGTTACAACCAAGGTGGGCAGAAGAGCATCTCTGAACGCACAGTACGTCGAACTTTGAGGCAGATGGGCTACAGCAGCAGAAGACCACACCGGGTGCCACTCCTTTCAGCTAAGAACAGGAAACTGAGGCTACAATTTGCACAAGCTCATCGAAATTGGACAATAGAAGATTGGAAAAACGTTGCCTGGTCTGATGAGTCTCGATTTCTGCTGCGACATTCGGATGGTAGGGTCAGAATTTGGCGTCTACAACATGAAAGCATGGATCCATCCTGCCTTGTATCAACGGTTCAGGCTGGTGGTGGTGGTGTCATGGTGTGGGGAATATTTTCTTGGCACTCTTTGGGCCCCTTCGTACCAATTGAGCATCGTTGCAACGCCACAGCCTACCTGAGTATTGTTGCTGACCATGTCCATCCCTTTATGACCACAATGTACCCAACTTCTGATGGCTACTTTTAGGGCTGCAACTAACGATTATTTTGAAAATCGATGAATCGGCCGATTATTTTTTCGATTAATCGATGAATCGGACACAAAATATTTTTTTTATATTAACCTCTTCATTCCAAAATAAACATTTTAGACAGAACAAACAAGCACACAAGTACAGGTTGCTCATTAACTGTACTGGTGCAATATGAAAAATAAATGTTTGTTTTAAAACTACGCAAACTTACATGAGAAATGTAGCTGTACATCCACAAAATATAGGGTACTTTGTTTCATAAAGCGCAAAAAGAGACAGGCATTTTTGTTTTTTAAAGCCCCTAAGGGGCTCAAACAACAGGCCCCCCCATTTCAACAAATGAGGTTTTTTTAGACTAGAAGAGTTCTGCCTTTTAAGACAGGAAAGTACAGCAGTTAAAGTTGCTACTTGAGAAAATCCTGAACCATAGAGATAAAAATAGCCCTGTGATTCAAATTATAAATTGTATTTGGAATAAAAATGAGAGAACTAGGGGTGGTAAAAAACACATCCTCCAAAGACAGATATTTACATGGAAATGTGGCAGATAATTAATTGACATATTACTGATCTTGCTGGATTTTATTCTGCTTTACTTCCATAAATTGCAGGATCTTCTTTACTTTATCTTTGCCAGAAGATTTAAACTTTAAAAGCCTTGCCCTCATAATTTGCAAATTTATTTATTTATAAAGAAAATATAAACGCTGCTTAAGCTAATTCAAATGAAATTAAAAGTAAAATAAGAAGCCAACCTTATCACTGTCTGTAACCTACTAACAAGCTAAGGAAAGCATCACCTGAGAAACTAACGTTACGTTTCCCCACTTTAAAATGAAAAAAACATGGTTACTCATCCTGCTGATCAGCTCTCTTCACTGCCATCAAAGGCTCCAACGTGTTTTCTTTTCAGCTGCCGCGTCATAACAGTGGTGCTTCTGTGCCATGTTCATTTGTTTTTACAAAAGTTGCATGTTACGACTTTTTTCACTTTACAAAGCGCAGGCTATTTTAATTATTATGATCAATTTGCGCCGTCAATCCCGGGGCATGCGCGCTTCATTTGCAGTCTGGACGCTAAGGATAAACTCCTCACTAAAATCCTGCGGCTCTGACTGCAGCGCTGAGAGGGATTCCTGTGGGAGAGAGAGAAAGGCGTTGGGATGGGGGAGGCGCCCCACGGCAGCAGCTGCCGCTGTAGGAGAAGAGTAGGAACGATACATGCTTTCACGTAAGAGTCTCCAAAAGCCGCCAGTGACACCGTAAAAAGTCGCCAGATTTGTGCCTAGTCGCTTTTTAAAAAAATAGTCGCTGGAGGGGTCTGAAAAGTCGCTGAGTTGGCAACACTGCAACTGCGGCGCTGACTCGCTCTGCCATATTTTTTTTTCTTCCCCGGGATGACGGCGGCGGCGGATGACGCATTAATCGCGCGACACAACTAATCGATGATTAAATTCGTTGCCAACGCTTTTAAAAGTCGATTTTTATCGATTTTATCGATTCGTTGTTGCAGCCCTAGCTACTTTCAGCAGGATAATGCGCCATGTCATAAAGCTGGAATCATCTCAGACTGGTTTCTTGAACATGACAATGAGTTCACTGTACTCAAATGGCCTCCACAGTCACCAGATCTCAATCCAATAGAGCATCTTTGGGATGTGGTGGAACGGGAGATTCGCATCATGGATGTGCAGCCGACAAATCTGCGGCAACTGTGTGATGCCATCATGTAAATATGGACCAAACTCCCTGAGGAATGCTTCCAGCACCTTGTTGAATCTATGCCACGAAGAATTGAGGCAGTTCTGAAGGCAAAAGGGGGTCCAACCCGTTACTAGCATGGGGTACCTAATAATGTGGCCGGTGAGTGTATATATATAAGTAAATTACAATATATATGTTGAAATAAATAAAGCTAAATGCAAAAAATGTAATAAAATTAATGCAAAATTAAAATGCATTTTTAAAGTTCCATTTGCCCTATTTAAAGGAAACATGTATTTATTTTACAGAATATGTATGAATAAAGATGGTTTTGTTGTATTCGGGCCGACTTTCAGCCTGATGGTGCGTGGTTTAGTATACAGGGGGTAACGAGAGGCGACTAGCCTCTAACGACGCACAGTGAATGAAAATACATTGTGAGCAGTTAACTCACTGTACGAGGAAACCCTGCGGTTAAATTGATTTTTAAATAATTACAAAAGAATACACCTTGAAGTTTTTTTGTTGTTTTTTTTTAACCCCCCCGTTTCTCACTAATTAAATAGTAACTCACTTGTCTGCTGTTGCTGTGCAGCTGGATGCCGCTTCGCCTCCCTGGGCTCCTGCTCCATCGCTGTTGCCTCCATCTTCTGATCTGACAGGAGCATCTGAGGCTGCTGCAGCGGGAACTTCTCCTCCATCAGATGGGGCGCTCTCCATCTGGGGCGGCTCCGTGCCGCTTTGCTCCGCCGCCGCCTCGCCGGGCTCAGAGGTAACCTCCAGCTCCTGGGCTGCAGGAGGAACACGCGGAGCCTCGTTTCTCCTCCCGCTCTGCGCTCGCTCTCTGTCTTGCTCGGCCAGCTTTTCAAACATCCTAAATGTCTGAAGATAAAAAGAAAGCTCGTCAGAGTCCTTTAGAAGAGATGATTAGGTTTTTTTTTTTTTTCCACCTTTCGTTGCCGTACAGCCGCAGATGTTAATAGTGTTACACAAAGTTTAAAAACCTCTCATGACTCTGAAACCCCTAAATACAATCCAATGTCATCAAAAGTCATCTAATAACTCAATCAAGTCCATCTCTGTGTTTTTTAATAACAATAAATGTGAGACCAGCCAACAGAATAACGGCCATACTCCTGAACGACTAATCTGAGCAAAGAAAGTTGAGAACTAATCAGAAACTTTGGGTTTAAAATTCAACATGTCTAAAAGCTAATGCCTTCTGTGGCGCGTTACTCCTGCAGTGAAGCACAGTGGTAGCAGCATCATGCTGTGGGGCCGCATCTCTGCAGTACCGAGAGAAAAGCTTCTCAGAATGTCAAGATGGTGAAAACTAAATCACAAAAAAAAATCTGGAAGACAACTTGTGGAATTACAGCAGATGTGTTTAAGGCTGAACAACATACGGCTAATGTTTATATACCAGAGTAAGCTGTTTTTGGAGCATAAAAGGTGCTGCCTTATAAAGTCTGTTTCAGTTATGCTAACCTAATATTCAGTCCAGCCTGACAGCAACAGATCATCAAACTGGACATATATGATAAAGCCAGAAACGTACCGCGTTCCAGGGAAGCAAAAAGCGCGTAAATACATGATTTTACAACAAAGTAGAAAGGTTGTGCAGTTTAGAAAAAACGCAAACATGAGACTTAAACACATACGTTACAAGTCCTCCAGACTAGGGATGCACGATATTGGGATTTTGGCCGATATCCGATATGCCGATATTTTAAAACTCATGTAGCAGATAACCGATATCGATACCGATGTTAAAGCTGGACAAACATAAGTAGTCATTGAAAATAGCAGTTTTGTTATCCATTTCTGACACTTTGAAAAATAATACACTCCAATATATTTTCATATGCTGATATCAAATTTGATTTTTAAAAACGCGGTATCGATCAATTTTACTTTCAAAATCTCGTGAAATTTCATCGTTCTGTTAAAAACTCTCGTGATATTTTGCAAATTCTTGTGAGATTTTGTTAGTAAAATAGATCGATACCGCGTCAATATATCAACATATAAAAATATGGCAAAATTTCGTGAATTTTCGGGGGATTTCGTAGCATAACGATGACATATAGCAATATTTCATTAGTAAAAGAGATTGATATGGTGTTTTTAAATGGCAATATATCAGCATATGAAGATATTGTAATATTTTACTCTATAAATATTTTTTCCCTAGTCTTTAGAAGTTTTTAAGTCTGTAAAAAATAAGTTTTTGAGAAGGAAGAAGTAGTATTATTTTTTATTTTCTTTTTTAGACTTTAGAAACTCAGAAGCTGATCAAATATCGGGTTAAATATCGGTGGGGTGGCCGATGTCCGATATTCAGTTTTAAGGCTGATACAGGCCGATACCGATATGGGGCCGATTATATCGTGCATCCCTACTCCAGACCACAAGAGGGCGATGATCATCACGACATATGGAACCTCAATATTGACCAGATGGACCAGAACCTTCTTAGAAAAATAAATAAGATGCCATCCAGAGAACACGGAGGGCAGAAAGCAAAGGTTGCTTTTTCTAACAATTTTATAAACACTTAAAGGTATTAAGGAGGATTTTCTCAAATCTTTTAAAAGACCCGCCCTCTACACTTAAAAAAAAAAAATGCACATGCGAGAGCTTTGCTTAAAAGTTGCTGTTTTCATATCTGATACAAGCTTACTGTGTCTGAACGTCGCCTAAATCCGTCCCTCAATCACTGCACAGAGCGGGGACTAGATAGTGGACTTTGTAGCTAACTCAGTTAACTGTCAGATCAGACAGATACCGATAACATCTGTTTGAAATCAATGTGTGTGTCTATATGAAGAACTGCAAACTACTTGGATGTAAAATAATTGCCATCATGGCTCTTTTGGCTCTGAAAATGGTATCGGTGCCCTATTTGTTGGTATTCGCTGATACCGATACCAATATCACCATTTTAGCACTGGATCTGAACGATACTGGTATTGGTATCAGTGCAACAATAACTGTAAGTATTTTCAAACGGCCTAAAAAGTCCATAAATAAACCTTTCAATATAAATATATCTTATTAACTTTAATGTAAGTTGTCCTTCTTGATTTTCTTGCTCATTTATACAAATTTAAAGGCAGTTATTTAACTTCTTCACCTTCAGCACCATCTTCTCCGCCACTCCTGGAGGGAAGCCCATCCTGTCGTTGGGACCAGACAGCAGCCGATAAAAGTCCGTTTTTCGGTATAGAAATCCGAAGTAGACCTGCAGGAAGTCCTGGATGTTTCCAACGTGCTGCAGGATCCCCAGCAGAGCGTTGTCATACATTTCTGTCATCTCCAGCCGCGACGCCATCCCTCCGCTCAACGGTTCCACCTGCCAACAAACCGGAGGAGACCTCAGAGCGACAACACAACACCGTCCGGACGCACAAGTTTGAGGAGAAGTGGGACGAGTTGAGCTTCTTTAGAAATGTTTTGCTCGTTCCAGAACAATACGAATACTTCCGGCTTTTAAGTTTCAAAATAAAAGCTTGGTGTTCTTCACTAACAGTTGAATGCAAAACAAAAGTTGTTTTTAATGGAGGAAATGTTATTGTATTATTATTACTTGCAATATACGTGTTTTTATTTATTTATTTACTTTTAAATGTACTTAAAAGGCTAGTTTTTAAAAACCATTTATTTATTTATTGCACTTCCTGTTGGTACGTGTTATTTCCCGTCCGGTGGGAACCCCAAATCAGTTAACGTTCCAAGTCTAAGTTTGAGCTAAGAGTTTCGGGATGAAATAACTTTTTTACTTGCAAGCTGTAATCATCCCCGGGACTGGAAAAAACACTTTATTTTGTATTTTAATTTTAACAGTTCTGGAGGGGAAATAATGGCATTCTTTATTTCTATTTAATCGTAGCTCCGGTTACATTTGAACGTTACAGAAACATGGCGGCGTCCTTGAACAACTCTGGGAGCGCGAGGCTTCTGGTAAGAAGATGATTGAAAAGTCAAACATTTGGAAAATGTCTACCTCATATTTGGTGTTAATGATCTGTTAGTAATGTTAAGGTGTGCTTATCTGGTCTCATGGCTTCCTAAGAGACGATATAATGAGGTAATAACCTGCTGGTTTAATAACAGTCTTGCTACAAGGAAACAATTTTACCTATTTCTGTTTCAAACTGTTAAACTACTCAAAAGAAAGCTGAGAAATAACTTAAATTCTATCCTATCAATAGAAATTGCTCATTATCTCAGTTATTCATTATGAGTAAATATCTGCTAAATAGGTTTGTTTTTGTTCTAGATGGAAAAAATCGTCCTGTTAAAATAAAAATACACTTTTTATTTTAACAGCATTTTCAAAATAAAACATTTCTTAGTTTGTTTTATACTGTACAATAAAAGCCAAAACTTGAGTTAACAAAAATCTGGATTTCTTATTTTTCTACTTTTTTTTGTTTTGTTTTGTTTTTTTGCAATTCGTCCCTTAAAAATATTTAAAATAATCTCAGTCATTATATTCGTATAGCCATACTTTTATCTGCCATATATGTTTCATTAAAAGTTTGCACGGCTGATATATGAGGTATGTTTAGTGTCCATCGTTCCTGTTAAATGCATAAATCCCCAAAGTTCTGCAGATGTTTTGCTTTTTAAAAAGGTTTTAAGCCTAAATAATAAATCTTTGTTTAGATCCACTGATCAAAGCCGAACATTTTGATGATCATCAGAAAATATCTCCTGTTTAGAGTCAGCACAGGCCGATCACTGATGATTCCTCCTCTCTAGTGATGGTGGGTGGGGCAACAGAAAATATAATCAAGTAAAAATAGCTCTACTTCAACAGATTTATATTGGAGTAAAAGACAAAATAAATAGTCTCCATAAAAAGTGTATATTTGATAAAAAGGCTGCTTAAGTAGTGAGTTTTACTATTTTAAGGTACAGGATGTAATCAGACTATAATACAAAGCTGGGCTCAAGTTGCTTTTGTTTTAAAGTCTCAAAGTAATTAATAGAAATAGGAAAATAAATTCAGGTTAAATAAATTATTAGTCTATTTTTATATAAAACTATTCCTTATAGTGTATCATTTATGTATAAGAGAGCAGCTTACACTGCCTCCAGTTACAATATATACTTTTTACTTTGCATTACTTTGACCTCTAAGTCTCAGCAGATAAATTTAACATTAAAACAACAAAGATTGGGTAAAAATATCCAAAAAAGTTCAAAACAATCCACTGGACTTTGTTTCCAATTTTCAAGACCACCTCCCACCCATTTCTTTAAAAAAAAAAATTCTGTTTTATTAATTATTTAAAAACAATAAGGTGATAGCTTCAGGGGTGTTGAGATAGGATCCCAGTAAAAAAAAAAAGCTGAATTGATAAGTTTTTCTTGAGTTTTAATTCTGATTTTATAGAAAACTGTAATTTTAACTTAAATCAATTTATAAATATGTCAAATTCCTAAATTGTGAATTTATATTGACCCAATATTCCAAATAATAGCTTTATTTGATCTTTTAGATATTTATATAGCTACAATTTTTGAGTTTGCTATACTAAGGGATTTTTATTTTGATTTTAAAGATAATCCAAATGAATATTTTCAAGCCAAAATTAAATATTTTCAGTTGAAAGACATATCATTTTAATTAAACCTTATTGAATGGAAATTTCACCTCATGCAGATTTCTTAATGTATTTCAATCCCTTTCCTGATTTTTTTTTTTTTTGCTTCTTGCTTTTCGGTACCCCTATGAAAACATGGTGGCCCCTCTGGCCCCCCCGGAACATTTGGTCTAGAACCACCACTGCCTCCCATCCAGGAAGCTTTTTCAATTCAAGATAGCGTTGAGTTCTAGGCTTTGTAGAGTGGCCCAAAAACCAAGCCCTGTTTTCATTTGTTTTTAACTTTTTTGGAAACTTAAAATGTCTATAAAGTTCCTTTCATTTAATCAGTAATTTTTTGTTGTTTTTGTTTTTTTATCCCTGAGGAAAAAGAAGCCAGACCTTAGATAATATTACCATTTTTCTCCTTATCTCTGAGTTTGGGTCATAAAAACCTTGCAAGCGTTTCTATGACAACTGTCTTCCCTCTCTCCAGGCTGCGCTGGCCCGCTCCAGCGTTCTGTTCAAATCCTTGGAAAGCAGAAGCCTCCATGTGACGGCGGTCTGCTGCAAGGTAAACACAGACATGCATTACGTTTCTTTCCCCTGTTGAAGAAATTCCTTCGCTTTATATTCTGTTTATGTCTAAATCAAAGTGTTGGCTCTAGAAACGGTCCCCAAACTCACTGAATGGTTTGTGTTGGCTTACTTTGTTAACTTTTGTGTTTCATGTCTTGCTTTTTCGTTCTTCTCAGAACCGAGCGGCTCGGATCCGAATTGGCAAAGGAGACAAACCGCTGACCTACGAGCAAGCGCATCATCCTCATCAAATCGCGCACCGCAAAGGATGGCTGTCTCAGCACACCGGTGAGCAACGCTGAAGAGCACATGCTCTCTGGTTCATAACTTAAACTTAAAACAGAATAAATAAATAAATAAATATGTTTTTTTTTTTACATTTCCATTTCATTCTGTGCAGTCTGCTCAGAGTATGATAATTATGCAGCACTTAATGCTTCACTCGTGACTCTGAAAGGACATCAAACCATTGGTATTGGTGTAATCTATCCTCCAGTCTCTCCGCCATAAAGTTGTAATATTTAGTTTTTCACTTAAACTATCAGGAATAGACTGGATGTAGAGAACAGCCTTTTTCAGTTGGTCCTCCCAGCCATATTTTACTTTACTACCTAAGAAATCAGTCATGTAACCATGGTGACCTGGTCACATGACTGACTGCTGGCCTGAAAAAATCTCCCAGTCCAGCCCTGACAGGAGCTCCATCACTTCCCAATCTGCCGACTCAAACTGGTCTGATATCAGATTCAGAAACACTGAGGGAGGCGATTTAACCAGAGGGATGCAGGTGTAGCGCCCCCAGTGGCCAACAGTTATAGAGCGCTGCTAAAGATTCTAAAATAAATATGATTCTTTAGCATAACACCTAAAGCAGAACTGAATCCATCCAAGGTGTGATTCGCTGTAATTGAATGAAAAAAGGGCATCTTGCATGTGTTTAATAGGCGTTCGCTCTTGGGAACGGGTACAGGCTGTTTTTGTAAGTGGAGAGGGCGGGTCTTTGAAAAAATCATGAAAATCCTCCATAATACCTTTAAGGAACCTAAGAAATTAACAAAAATTACTCTTAAAAAATTCATGAAAATCCTGGAATATACCTTTTAATCTAAAAAAAAAAAAAAGAAAAATGTATATAATTAGTTAGAACTAATAATTATAATTTGAATATATAAAACCAGGGATGCACGATATGATCGCCCCCCTATCGGTATCGGCCTGTATCGGCCTTAAAACTGAATATCGGACATCGGCCACCCCACCGATATTTAACCCGATATTTGATCAGCTTCTGAGTTTCTAAAGTCTAAAAAAAAAAAAAATAAATACTACTTCTTCCTCAAAAACTTCTTTTTTACAGACTTAAAAACTTCTAAAGACGAAGGAAAAAATATTGATACATTAAAATATCACAATATCTTCATATGCTGATATATTGCCATTTAAAAACACCATATCAATCTCTTTTACTAATGAAATATTGCTATATGTCATCGTTATGCTACGAAATCCCCCGAAAATTCACGAAATTTTGCCATATTTTTATATGTTGATATATTGACGCGGTATCAATCTATTTTACTGACAAAATCTCACAAGAATTTGCAAAATATCACGAGAGTTTGTAACAGAACGATGAAATTTCACGAGATTTTGAAAGTAAAATAGATCGATACCGCGTTTTTAAAAATCAATTTGATATCAGCATATGAAAATATATTTGAGTATATTATTTTTCAAAGTGTCAGAAATGGATAACAAAACTGCTGTTTTCAATGACTACTTATTTTTGTCCAGCTTTAACATCGGTATCGATATCGATTATCGGCTACATGAGTTTTAAAATATCGGCATATCGGATATCGGCCAAAATCCCAATATAAAACCTTGAGAAAAAAAACCCCTCAAATTCGGAAGAGATTTAAAAGATGAATAAATAAATTGAAACATTTCTTGTCTGGCGCTGACAGGTAACCTCAAAGGGGAGCAGGGAGCGGCTGAGAGAACAGTGGAGGACGTCTTCATCCGGAAGTTCATGTTCGGGACCTTCCACGGTTGCCTGGCCGACGAGGTTGTGATCAAACGCCGTGGAAACACGCTCATCATTTGCGCTCTGATGCTACAGAAGATGCCGCCTCAGAAGTTTTACTTTCTAATCGGATATTCAGAGTCGCTGCTGTCCCACTTCTATAAATGCCCAGTAAAGCTGGATATTCAGACTCTGCAGGATAAGGCTGTGTACAAGTATCTATGAAACATCTAAAAAAGTGAAAAAAGAGAACGAAGGAAGCATTGGAAATACGAAATGCTTTGAAAAGGCTGTTTGTTGTATTCATTGACGTGTCTCTTTAAGTTATTTAATGCAGAAGGTGAAACCTGTTCAGACTCAGATATCCATTAGCATTCAGTAGTTTAAGCAGAGAAAGTTTAAAGTTTGCATTTTGTATCAATGTGGAAACAGATTTTTGATGTTATTAAAGTTATGAAAGGAGGCAGATTATAAATAGATGAATGTCACAATAAAAGTAAGTCAAATTAAACTAATTGGCTGCAGAATTCTTATCTTTTTATGCAAAAACACCTTTAATTGTTTGCTGACAATCTATGTGGAAATGGTGCAGGTGAGGATTTACTGTAAAAAGCTTTGTTACCACAAAAGGAATATTGAATTAAAGTGGTTCTAATTAAACTCGATGTTTGGATAGTCCATTATCTGCGCAGCTGGAGCTGTTATACGATCCAAATAAAATCAATCCAGGTTCAACTCTTCTATAAAACAGGAAGGTTTTATCGTAAACATTGCTGTCCATCTTAACCTGATTTATTTTACTATCAATGGCACAAATAAGTGGAAACATTAAAGTTTCCTTATTATTGGTAAAAAAAAAATGTATTTGGGTTATTTGTTTATACTTTGCTAACATTTTCTGTAGGAAATATTTCTTCCTTTTGTGTTGATATTTGATAACATTCCTAATATCTGTATTCTTTTAGAGAGCAAACAGATGTGAATATTGACATCTTGGCACTAAGGAGGTCTCTTCAGGATTATTAAGAGCCAGTTCAAACAAGCAAATTTGATAAAATTAGGAAAAGGATCAAATAATAGAATTTTTTAAGGAATTTCTTTTTTGCTATTTAACTTCAAAGTTCATTAATATAATAATAATAAAAAAAAACATTCTTATTGTGCGCATTAATGTGGGCTGAGTTTTAAAATGGGTGATGACCTGGTAACTAAAAGGGCGTCCAATCAGGAAGGCAGATTATGCAAGTCACCATGGCAACAGCAGGACAGAAGCCTCTAATGCCCCTATATGTATGGAGTCAGTTTTGTTCCATTATTGTTGGAAGCAAGTAGCTAATTTGTAAATGGAAATTTTAAAAAAAGTCCAGAAATGTTTTTTCTTGATTTAAAAAAAAAGGTTTTAAAAGGTAACTTTGCAGTTTTCTCTGATTTCATTTATTTTAAATTCTAACCCGTTTTGTATTTTATATATTTTTTCCAATATTTTCTTTAAAAATGTTATTTTTTTTCTTGTAAAACATTGTTTTAAGAACTGCATTCCTTTTAAATTATGTTTTACAGAGTTGATTGATTAAATCATCTCCATAAAGGGCCTTTAGATGGCGTGTTGTAAATTTGCTCTATATAAAATTGAACTGAAAATATTTTCAAACAAAATTGAATTAAAAGAATTACGTTTGGAACATAATGTAAATAAAATACAATTCAACCCCCACCCCCCGTGGGTTTGATGGCTAACAAGGCACAACAGACGTATGCTTATAAAGACAGCTCACATATAAAGTGAATTATTGCACCATATTTAAACATTTCATACTAAAGTAACACTGTAGCCTGTTTTTATAGCTATTGCCAAATAGAAAAAAAAAAAAGTTGAAGCCTTTTAAGGATCTTAATTCAATGATGATACAGGATATTCCTCCATGGTGATGGTAAAATGTTCTTTATTATTAAATCTCATTACAGTGCAAATCCATTCACATTTTAGGCACTTGCACCCGGTCTGTGCAAAAACAAAAAGGCACCCAGGATCAAAGCATTTATCAGCAGGTATAAAAATCCCTTTCCAGTTAGTAAATCAGATCACATTCATGAACATTCAAGCAAACCGCTCACCTCCAAGTGTTTTTGCAAAACATGACATGGATGATCAAAAAAATACATAAAGGTAGGTTTACATCTCAAGGCACAAGTTGGGACAGAAAAAAAACAACAAAAAAACACATTTGGTTGTGTTATTTATTTTTTTCAAACTGTAGTAGAATAGACGTTAAGGTCTGTCTGAAAATAGTTTCTTAGGATGCTTTCAGTTAGAAGTAGACTGATTCTAAACCTGGGAGGCAAACCCAGCTCAGCGAACCCTTTCTGCAAAGTGTTTGTGTGCTATGCTAACCACCTGGTGGTGGCTGCTTCATTCAATACGGGGAGAAACCTTCTCATCAAACCCCCAAAATACAAAAATCCCTCAAGTTTTATGAAGAATCAATAAAGATCAGGCTAGAGCATGACGGTAGCAACAAGGCCTTCAGTTTTTGCATCGCTATCAGAAGCAAATCTTTGTCTGAAAGCTTCTGTTTCTGTCTTAGGTATAATCAAACAGGATTCACAGGGTTTAACATTAATAGTGCAGTTTATACAATACAAATGTCACAGCATGGATAAAAAAAGTGTGCTTTTAAAAGACAAAAAGCTATAAAAGCCTTGCTCAGAAAGGTGGCAGACATTTTGATTTGTTGAAAAAAAAAAAGTTCCAATGAAAGCCTTTTTTATGTGGCTAAATGTTAAAACTTCCAACAGTGTATCCAGTGTATTTAATTTATGATATAGATTATTGCCTGTATGCTGAATAACAATATTCTTTTTACTTTTATGTTTTAACAGCACTAAGCAAGGCTAGCTGCTGCTAAGCTAGGCCAACTGTTGCTAAGCTAGGCCGACTGCTGCTTAGCTAGATCCACTGTTGCTAAGCTAGGTCAACTGCTGCTAAGCTAGGCCAACAGCTGCTAAGCTAGGCCAACTGCTCCTTAGCTAGGTCCACTGCTGCTACGCTAGGCCAACTGCTGCTACGCTAGGCCAACTGCTGCTACGCTAGGCCAACTGCTGCTACGCTAGGCCAACTGTTGCTAAGCTAGGTCAACTGTTGCTAAGCTAGTCCTCATTTTAATTTGCCTCACAGGTGGATGTTGAAGTGGGGAGAGAAAGACATCAAACCAAATCTAAACCCGTGTTACAGCTGCTGGTCACAAATCCAGCCAGTTACTTTGCTAAGTGACCTGGCTAACTACTGTTAGCAAGGAAAGCTAACAGCAGAATATTCATTTACAATTTTGTGCATTAAGGTACTTTTTTTTTCCAGTTTTTTCCAAAAATATAAATTGGACCATACATGCTTATGGTTGATCCTGACACTATCTAAAGTGCAAATAAACCATTTAACACTGCAGCTTCTCTTTTTATTTTATTTTTTAGATACATAGCAGCTATTTTCTCTCTCTTTCTACTCAGACCTAATGCAAAAAAAAAAAAAAAAAATTTTTTTTCTTCTAAATAATGATACGAAAACAAACTCCAGATAAACTGTGATTGATACAATAGCAGGAGGTTGGAACTGCTGAAAGTTTAATTTAATTCAGAGATATTTCTCTCCTTTCTCCTCCAACAAAAACAAATCAAAATGTCTGTCTACTTGTCTGAAAGTGTCAGAGAGCATGGCCCTTCCCTCTTAGGATGGCTGAATCCCTTTGTCTTCCTCTTTACTTGAGGTTACGGCAGCTGTCGCCCACGCAGGACTGTAGTTTAATGAGCCGCTGGTTCATGGCCTGCAGGATTGTCGGATCCACCTTCTTCACGATGTTCTCCAGCTGGTGCGGGTCTGATGTCAGGTTGTATACTTCTACAAAAGACTGAAAACAAAAAAAAGGTTCAGACTTTTATTGAATGAATGTTGTTCCATTATTGTTGGAAGTAAATAACATGTGTAAATCAAAATAAAAAAACATATTTCATCCATCAATATTCTATTGGGGTCTCTGGCAGTCTATGGGTATAAGGCGGGGTACTAGGGTTGTCAACCGTCCCTTGAAAAACAGAATTTTTCAGTATTTAGAAATAGAAGTACCTGTCCAGTATTTAGTGGAAAAGGAACGCACTTTGTCCCGTATTACTGACATTGAAAAAATAGTCAGTGAAAAGCTAATGGAAAATGAAGAACAAGGGCACGTTCAAGTGCCTAACTTTCTGAAGGACTGGTGTGGACATGTCCCACCAATAATTTTCCCTTTTTTCCTCCTTTCTGCTCATTTACTTTAGCCAAAGGTAACAGAAGTTGGGAGCAGCTAACAGTGTTCAGAGCATTTTCAGTGTTTTTTCTCCTTTGTCGTGGTGCTCCGTGTCCCGCCTCTCGGTGTGACATCATCAGATCTGTTGCTTTGAGACATAATATTAATTGGGGTCGCTATTCACTGCATACAGAGTAGCTATGTGGGGGAGGAGAGACACGCAGCAGCACTCAGTGAATATTAACCAGCAGCTACTTCGATGTTTAAGTAAGTTAGGAGACGGGTTGGTTCGAAAAATTAGAGATCATGCCACCGAAAAATCTGTTTGTTAAACATATGGAGCTTTTTCAGCTAAAAACGCCAACAGATTGTAAGTTTATACAAGTTAGCAGTGGCGGATCTAGGGGGTGGCTACTTGGGCTACAGCCCCCCGGATCTTGCTTCTGAGCTGAGCTGAGTAAAATGTGCAGTACTGGAATTCACCAGATGGTGGCAGCATGTGCAGGAAAGCAGCCTGTAGCATTACCGTGAAGAAGAAGAAGTTGTCACCACTAGCTGTTGCTAAACAGACTGATGTTCCAGGGATATGAAGCTCTGACTGACTTCCAGACGTTCTTTGGAGGAAATTCTGTTTCCCTTTTGTCGGGAGCGCGCACTGAAGCCAGAGAGGCGGACATGGCGGATGGAACAATTTTCACAGCGCTTCTCATCGATTACTCGCTAAAAACAACTCATATATTCATGCCAAGGTTGTAACATCCAGTTTAATCAGCAGTTGTTTACAAAATTGTAAAATAAATAAACAGACGAGATCCTTTTAAGCTGTTTTGTGTTGTTTTTTTTAAACGCCAAGAGAATCTGTCTTTTTCCAACTTCTGTCATCACTACTCGTGGTGTATCTGAAACCTGATAGAAATAAAAGTCAGTCAGCAAACACAGTTTTCCAACAGGTAGTGTGTATTTAGACATAAGAGGATGAAAACTGGGTGATAGCAGGACACTAAAATTAAGAATTGTTGAAAATATGAGGGTAGACTTTCTTGTAAATCCTGTTCTAATGTAAAATATGACAGATTACTGGATAAAGGAAATTTCTAGCATATGACAAATACAATAACAATTTTTTTAGAAATCAGAAACATAGGCTCTTTTTTCCCCAAACATATGGGAGGAGGAGGAGAGGAGAGAACGGCTATTTCAGCTGCCTGAAACAATCTGTTCCCCTCCATTAGATGGGAAGAAATGAACTCACCTGCAAGTCTGTAACCCTGTTGATTTGGTGACATTTAATCGTTATTTGCCAGAGTTATCAGAGGGAAATCATATTTTAGCCACCTGATATAATCTGTCCCCCCCTTTGATGATCTTTATGAAATGTATTTTCTGTTTAAATGTTTACTAATTTTCCAAAAAAAAATTAATTCCAGAACCACTGGACTTTGTTTTCCAAGTGTGAAGATGTTTCGCTTTCCATCCAGAAAGATTTCTCAATTCAAAATGTCGGGAGCAATGCATTTCATAAAGATCATCAAACCAACATTCATATTTATTTTAAATATTATGGATTTCAAAATAGAAAATAAATGTTTTAAACATAATATAGAAAAATAATGACAGTTTCAAAATTTACAAGATTTATTTGTTTTTTCCCATGTGATGGGAGGAACGGATTATATAAGGTGGCTAAAATATTTGATTTTCCTCTCATAACTTCAGCAAATAATGATCAAATGTCCCCAAAATCCACAGAGTTTGTTGTTGATGAAGAGAGGAATAAACACAGTTAAACTCTTGCATTTAAATTAATTTCTTCAAATGTTATGGAGGGGGAATTCTTATGTGTGATAGCATGTAGTATACTAGAAATTTCTTAAATCCTGTTCTAATGTAAAATATGACAGATTACTGGATTAACCAGAAAGTCTACACTCTCGTCTTCGCCATCAGGGATAAGCCCCTGATCTCCAAGAATCCTAGATCCTCCCCTGCAAGTTAGTATTATAATGCAGGAAGCTTGAGAAAACAGTTAAAAAAAGCTGGGCTTCTTAGGACCATGACTCCCAGTTACAGGTTAAAATCAACATGTGTTCTTATTGTGCAGCAATGGTGAAACGTCACAGCAATAGACCCATAAGCAACATCATCTGGGCGGGCCCCATATGAAGTACAACACCCCATCACCTTTTTTCTATTTTTTTAGTTTTTTTATTAATGGAAATTTCGGGGGGTTCAACAATATTTTAATAAGGAAAAGGTTTTGAGAGTAACTTTATATTTTCTCTGAATTTTTTTATTTTTTTTACATTTCTATTTAAATTTATTTTCCAAAGGTATTTTGTTTGTTTTTACAGATGTGATTTTTCATTTATATTTTTGGTTTGTAAAAATATAAAATGATTAAAAAGGAAAATGTAAAAATAGAATATCTGTAAAGAAATATTTTTGAAAACATACAAATTTGGGGAAAAAAGGAAATAAAATCTGATAAAAAACTAAAAAGTCACTTTAAAAACATTTTGTAATAAATAAATAAAAAAATGTAAGTTGAATTTGGGGTTTGCAAATTTTTTTTTTTCCAAATCTAAATTTACATAATTAGTTTTTTCAAATTACAATTCACAAAATGTGTTCCTTCCTTGGAAACATAAAGGAATAAAATGCATTCCACAGCTTCCTGCTTTCACTAAAAACTTTTTTAAACACGTCCCAAAAACAATCAAAGTAGAAACATAATAAAGTCATAACCTAACCCCTAAATTTAAAGCTGTCATAACGCTTTAAAAGGCAAAGTGCAAACCGTCATGAGACGTTAGCTGTTGCTAAAGCTTTTTCTTAAAGGAGAATTCCGGTTTTTAACACTTTTAGCCCATTTTCTGTAGTGTCCAGGATGAAATCGAATGATCGACACCAAAATTTTGACAATTGGTCCTGTCTCTGCTTTTTGGCTCATGCAGAATCCCCCCCTGGCTGCTTCAGAATGGCTTCCATTGTGCATGTCCGATAATGTCCTTAAAACAACCTTAAACGTTCTTTTTTTTAAATATGCTACTCACCGGGTCGTCAGCGCTGTTCAATGACGTTCCAAAAAAAGTTTCGTAAAGAAAAAACGTTCCTGTAGTGTTTTATTTAGCATTTTGTAAATCCCATTGAGTTCTGTTGCAATAGTCAATATCCCTCCGCCACCGGAAACGGGGCCTGTTTACGCTTAGTTGTAGTCTTTTCGCAAGGCCCAAGTGTTTCTGCTTCCTTCACTCTGTGTACTCCGACGTCGAGGTGCTAACGTCTCTGTTAAACACTTTAAAAAACTCTGAAAATGGAATACTAAAGGTGGATTCTTGAGGAGGACATATTGGACTTTGAGTTTGACGGTAGAGGATACCGTCGCCAACTAGTGGTCTGGAGTGTGCAACGCTTCAGATTCGAACGGGAAGCGGAAGTTTATAAGCGGTTGTGATGTATCGGAAAAAATAGTTCTGGGATTTACAAAATGCTAAATAAAACAAGACAGGAACGGTTTTTCTTCACGAAACTTTTTTTGGAACGTCATTGAACAGCGCTGACGACCCGGTGAGTAGCATATTTTAAAAAAGAACGTTTAAGGTTGTTTTAAGGACATTATCGGACATGCACAATGGAAGCCATTCTGAAGCAGCCAGGGGGGGATTCTACATGAGCCAAAAAGCAGAGACAGTACCAATTGTCAAAATTTTGGTGTCGATCATTCGATTTCATCCTGGACACTACAGAAAATGGGCTAAAAGTGTTAAAAACCGGAATTCTCCTTTAAACCCCACATGCAGGTCATGAGTGTAGCTGACTGAGTTTACCTCGCTGTCTGCAAACTCGCAGTACTGCAGGTTCTGTTTGCCGTCGAGCATCCTCACACAGGCGTATGTGTTGTTGAAGGCATCCTCACACACACAATCTGGGAAACATTGCTGAGAAAAAAAAAAAAAAAAACTTGGTCAGAAAATGATGTTGGATTGGATGAAACTTCATATTCAGACAGGGGGCCACCAGGGGCCAGAGCCCCTATAGAGCAGGTCCTGGCATCTGTAATGATGGCATAATACTAAATACATTTCTGAAATAAATTGTGACACAAATTGGCAAGAAACTGCTACTGAATTGTTCACTGGATCATTTATATTTGTTATATTTCCAGTTTTATTTGAACAAATAATAAAAAATTAAATTGCTGCACTTTTATCTTCAGTCACATTGAGATATGATCACAGCTGTAATCAGCTTTCTCTGATGTTTCCAGAGTTTAAAAAATGGTTGCCCTGTATTTTGTTAATATTCTATGTTTGGTGCCCTTTTTCAGTGGCTGGGCAGAACAAATACAAGACATAAGCCAGGCATACACTGTGCAACTTTTTTCCCCTTTATGGCCGACTTTCCAGTCGTGCGAGTATTTTTCGATCGAGCCAACTTTCAGCCTGATAGTGTGTCGTATAGTGTACAGGGGGCAGTGATGGGAGTAACAGCGTTGAAAGTAAAGCTGTTACCTTTTTTTATTAACAAGTAATCTAATTACTTTGACTGTAACTATAATGCAGTTACCATTGCAGACACCCCGTTACTGCGCATTACTCAGGTCGCACAATCAACCTTTTTTCATGATAGGACTCGTGCGCGCCTTGTCATGAGAGAGGGGAGGATGAGATTGGCTGATGTATAGTAAAATTCCGTCTGTCAGTTGGGTAGGTGGGTGTTTCCGCTGGTGGGTGTTAACGTACAGCACACACAGAGAGATGGAGAGTGAGGATGACTCCAGCAGCAAAACAGCGTTTTCCAGATGGAAATACCGGTGTTACGTCGAGCTGCGTTTCCCCATCAGATACGGTTTCCCCTGCATCTCCGCACAGCGCAGGCGGCACGATTCACCGCGCAAGCGACAGGAAACGTGCATGCTCGCTAAAGGCGCGCAACAGCCGCCCTGTGCTTGCACCGCAGGGGAACTACGGAGAGCGTGAACGATCAAATGTTAGCCTATATGGAGAAAGGGGGATGGATGGATGGATGTTGCAGTATCTATAACAACCCAAACACACAGGATTTCAGAATAAGACATCCCCAGTTAATAATTTCATACACTCACCAGATCTGAACGGCCTGTTAAAAAACTTCACAGCCATGAGTAGAGGTAATGCAGCCCGATGATATTTACACCGCATCAGGTACCGTTCCCCCCATGTTAAGAAGAGGGGAACGCTATCTGACGGGGTTTATACGCCCGTCAGATAGCGTTCCTCCCTGATGTCATTTACGTTGAGTTGCAATAAATGCGAAACTCTCTGCAGGTTCTTGTCTTTGTCGTCCGCTCTATTCAGCTGGCTTTGGAAACACACGGCGAGAAGGTGGGGGCTGGGTGGTGAGGGTTACGGGGGCGAAAAACGCAAAAGTAACGCAATAGTTACTTTTACTAGTAACTAGTTACTTTTTTGTGGAGTAACTCATTTACTAACTCAGTTACTTTTTGGGAGAAGTGACTAGTAACTATAACTAAGTACGTTACTTTTTCAAAGTAACGTGCCCAACACTGACAGGGGGTAACGAGGGGCGATCAGCCTCTGACCACCTCCTGATCAGGAATCGTGAGGTCTGGATAAAATCAAACATGTTTGTAATTCAGTCAGCCGTCGTGGGCAAACAAGGATTCTTCCTCTTCCTCTCAGATGTAAACACAGAAGCATGGCAGGGTTGTGAGTGAAATGGCGTTCTGTCTAATTGACCGACAGTAGTAGCCATGTTTGTTGAGCCATGTCTTTGTCTAAATACCTCGTTGCCTTTTCTTTTTAGGGCTTTCAGCACAAAATTGTATAAATAGCCGAGGCAGCATGTTTCACTCTAGTGAGCTTCATATTTAACATTAGGAATCGATACTTCCATCTTTTTCCTCTTCTACTGGTTTGGCTTCTGGACAGCCGAGTTCGAGTAGCTCCATCTCAGACGTACAGAGTGAGCAGGTAGATCGCACCAGAGCGTCCGGTCGCACAGTGTGGGAACAAACATTGTGAGCTGTGAACTTGTACGATGAAACTCTGACGTTTTCCTCGTCCAGTTTGAGCTGTAGCTGCGTGCAACGATTGAAAAAAAAATCGTACAGTGTATGCCTGGCTATAGAGATGACTTGTTGACTCCAGATCCTCCATCTGTGCATTTAATGCTGTAAATTCCAGCATTGAAACGTTTAAAAAAAGAAACACACAAACCTGGTTTTCAGATTGCATTTAAACATTTTAAATCTGTGATATGATTGAAACAAAAATAAGGAGAAAACTCTCCAATGCCGTTTCCAGGTTGTGAAGACATTCGTGTTTGCTTACAGACACTCCAGGGCCAAGTTTAGGACAGGATGGGTCCTTTGTTGGACTTCCCTCTCCTGTGTACTCGACAAGGAAAAACGGTCGCACTGTGCCGTTCCGCAGGGATGGAGCCTGAACAGAGACTTGGGTCAGGATATGGGGGAAGAACTGGAATACAGGAAATCATGTGAAATGGAAAGGAGCTGACCATCTGAGCCAGGAAGGACTGTCCGTCCACATTGACGGTCGACAGGTTGAACCCAGAGATGTCAAGAAAGGTGGGAGCGAGGTCGATATTTAGCACCGGAGCCTAAAAGGGAAGAAAAACATGGAGGAGTGATTCATTCATAGGTAAAAACATGAATGTCGGTGGAAGGTAGTCCTGACCTGTATGGTCTGGTTTGGTTTGATGCCGGGGCCACGGACCAGGAGGGGTACCTTGATGTCAAACTCATAAAGTTGCCTCTTATCAATGGGCAGCGAGAACTGACCTGAGGAGGAAAACATGGAGGCTAACAGAGCAGGTGGCTTTCATTCACAGATTCCTAAAGCAGCAGTAATGTGGGCTTTAAATCAGGCATCCCCTAAGTCTGTCCTGGAGGGCCGCTGTCCTGCAGGCTTTAGAGGTTTCCCTGCTTTAGCACAGCTGATTATGATGATTGCAGTTCATCAAAAGCCTTTGAAGTAATTTCCTTCTGGGATTATTAAAGTATTTCTGATTCTGTGAATCAGCTTTAAATTAAAATAAGCTGTTCTGGAGCAGGAAAACCTCTAAAACCTGCAGGACAGCGGCCCTCCTAACCCGACTCTGCCAGATGGATTTGCTCCACATATCAATCTAGAAACCTTCCGTTGAAGTAATTTTGGGAAGGGGCGAAAATACTGGTTAGCTGATTGGCCTATGTTGGTGATAGACGAGCCAAATAAACCAATCAGATCAACGAAGCATATGACGTACTAACAGAGCAACGACGAAGAGGAGCCAAATGATAGATCAAACTCTTGCCGAAACCAGTCGGGAGAAGAGCAAAAACATCTTTTCCTCTGAGAAAAGTCTCCAGAGCAGTGTTTTGCTCTTCTTTCAGTGAAGAAATACTCTGTAACTCCGATAAAACTTGCTCAATAGCCACGCTAACGCTAGTTTCATCGGCTGAAGCCGCCATGTTCTTTAGACTGAACTGTGGCGCTTCTCGTTGCGTCACACCTCAACCCGCCTCAAAGCCAATGCTGATTGGACGTTCGTTTGGTGAACGGCTCCAAACTTTCTTTAACGGAGAGTCTCCAGACTGATTAGCGAGTTAAACCTTGAAAGCTCGCGAGATCAGGATGGTCTCACGAGGCTACGGCCCTCCAGGACCGACTTTGGGGATGCCTGCTTTAGAGCCAAGGTTAACTCTTTCTAGGGCAAGTTACCAATTTTGATCACTTGCCTTACAAATGTGTCCCCCCCGTCCCTCAGTGAGGTCTAGAAGCAGAAGATCTATATCCAGTCATTCAGCAAAGATGCTGCTACATGGCTGTACATCTTATTTTGGTATTTGACCAATTAGATGAACCCTTGATTGATATTTCCCCTACTGTAAATTAAGTTTCAAAAATATGTTAACAAGTCAAAAAAAAAGGTAAAAAGTAAAAAAAATAAATTAGGCTAGTTAACAATTATATTTAGGTGCCTCAAAGGTTATATTGTACCTAAAAAATTTTGTTTTTTTCCACTCCGAGTGTTTTTCATGAATTTCTTATAGAAGCACTTTTGTTATTTTTCTTGATATATTAGGGCAAGTTTGCGTTTCTTGTTATTACAGAAACGCAATTTGATATTTGCCATCAAAATATCCATATTTTTTAACTGTTACAAAGGTAATAAGGTTTTCCTGGATTTCAATAACACTATTGGCTTGTAATTTTGATTTCAAAGTATTTCACTGATAGTCCTATAAAAGGTTAAGACCCATTTATACCATCCTTTTGAAACTGTGCTGAGATTCGGTCCGAGCACAGTAACAGAGATAACTGTTTAGTGTAAATGGCACGCAAACTGAACCGAACCATGCCAGACACAACCGAGCAGCTAAAAGTTTTCCTACTAGAGAGCAGTAGTACCGTAGATTGGGGAGGAACCGTGCTAGCGTGATGTTTAATGCTACGCTCACACCTAAAGCAGCAAGAGCAGTAAAAACTCGCGTGCTGCTTCATTTTTGATGCTTGTACAAGTTCAGTTCTGATGCGCGGCTGAAGCATCTTTGCTGCACTAGCTGCGTGCTGGAAAAAAGTGGGTCTGATGCGCATTGGGCGGAGCTAATCTATCCTTTCTTTGCCTGTAACAATGGCAGCTATATTTGCTGTGATCAGTGGGTAAAAAGTAGTTTTAATATGTTTTTAAGTTTGAAAGTCCACTGAATTAAAAGAGAGAGAGAAAGTCCACTGAAAACTTAATCAGTGCAGGCAGTTATTCCAGATTACCATCCTGCCTTCAAATATTATTTCTGTCAGAGCTGCACAGACTCCCGTACACTGGTGGTACTCTGTCACTAGGAATCCCATTCAACAGCAGCCTATGACCCGGTCGCCTCTTTGCGGTTTGTCCAACTGGAAGGTGTTTTTCATGTACGTAATCCAAACAGCAGGCACCAGGATAATAAAAGTAAACATGTTTTTCTGGCAGCATTTTAAGTTAATTTAGGCATTAATAAACTGTTTCAGAGGAGGGATCATAGCGCTCTGCATCAGCAGTGCTGCATCCGTCTCCCTGCCAGCCCCAAGATCAGCTTCTCTGATTGGTTGATGTGGCTCATCAAGCTGCAAAAGTTATATTTTTCCAACTCCAGCATCTGCTGCTTCTGATGCACGCCACGCGCTTCATGACGTGCTGCTCCTGCTGCTTTAGACACGCTGTGAGACCTTTTGCTGTGCGTCAACCATTGACTTTGCATGTAAACTAGCTGCTTTTGCTGCCTCTGCCGGTTTAGGTGTGAACGTAGCATTAACGGTCGTAAGGAACCGAGCTCGAAAGGATTAACTGATCCAAGCTCAGTCCGAACTCTGCACGGATCGGTTTTCAGAGGGTATTGTAAATGGGGCTAAAGGTTCAAGTTAAAACTACAAAGTAAAAAGTATTTTACAAACAATTATTCGACAGTCAAAGATGTGAGAATGTTCAAGATATTTTATCAATATAACCACCAGTAAAATTAAATAATGGCGTTTAGCTGCAAACACAGCCATTAGGCCTTCAGGTATGTCTCAGCCAGCTTTCTAAAGACTAAACTTTCTAATCCATTAATCTTGGCAAAAAAATCTGATTAGATGTAGAGCCTGTCGTCAGCGCTTTTAATCTCCGCGACAACTCCCCGCTGCTACAGAAGGAATGCACCCCACCCCCACCATGATGGTGTTTAAAAAGTTCAGTGTCAGTTTAGTTGATTTCTGGTCATGTTTCCCTCAGATGACTTCCAGCCAACTTTTAACCTGTCTACTTTTAAGGCTAGGCTTAAAACTTTCCATTTTGATAAATCTTATAGTTAGAGTGGCTCAGGTTATCCTGAGCTATCTCTATAGTTATGCTGCTATAGGCTTAGACTGCTGGAGGACATAGGGTCCCCCATTTCATCATTCTATCTCTATTCTCCCACTCTGCAGAATCTGTTAGTTCAATCTCTAACGTTCTGCTCTCTCTGCTCTTTCTCATAGTAGCTTCATCTGGTCTGTTCCTGTTTGGCTGTGACTCCATCCTGGGGAGAAATATCAGCTGTGCTGCCGCCATCAACACCTTTGGTTATAGATATTGGAGCTCGGCCTGTTTTCCAGTGTAGTCCTGTTTCTCTGACTGTGACTAACTGGATGTGCTCTCATCATCCTCTGACATGGGAGCTGGCTCGGAGCTCGTCTGCCTGGCTGTGTGTTTCCTGGACGGGCCGCCTTTTACAGTTCCTTTTGTATCTCTGCTTCTGTCTCCTTGAACCCCAGTCGGCCTCAGCAGATGGCCGCTCACACTGAGCCTGGTTTTGCTGGAGGTTTCTTCCTGTTAAAAGGGAGTTTTTCCTCTCCACGGTCGCTACAAGCATGCTTAATGTGAGGGGTTGCCTTCTAGTAAATGAGTCGATGCAATCAACTGGGTTTCCTTAGATAGAAAACTTTGAATCCATTTGACTGGATAATCTGGTGAAATGTAAAGTGCCTTGAGATGACATGTTGTGAACTGGCGCTATAGAAATAAATTGAATGGAAGATTTCAGTCACTATACTTAAGCGTATGGATTTTTCCCTTAACCAAACAGGATTCCACTTTCTTCGTACTAAGTCATTCGATCTCAGTAGGTTTTATGTTGTCAACTTTAGCAAGATGCCTCCATCTTTTTGGACAGATACTAACCTTTTTTTCTGTTTCATACCAATTGCTGAGATGCCAGCCATGTTTCTGTTGGCGATTTCAGCTTGCTTCTTCCACTTTTCAGGAAAGAAATTAAGCATTTCTATTTGCTGCCATTTCATACCACTTCAGTCATTTTTGCTTAAATTTCTCGTTCTACTGGAGGTTTCTTCTGTTAAAAGAGAGTTTTTATTCTCACCATTACTGTATGCATGCCCTGAGCGAGGGATTACTGCAGAGTCAATGAAGCAATTCAAATCAATATGGACTGTCGCTGCATGGTCATTAAATTTGGAGATTGCAAAGTCAACTACTGGATGCAATAAACCAATCTGACTGGATAATCTGATTGCAAAGTTCTTGTGTTAGGGATTGGTGCTATATATAAATAACACTGAATTAAATTGAAATGTTAGCACTTTCACAGATTCCACCACTTGAGCTGAAGATCTCAGCAGCTACTCCAGAGTTAAAATCAGACTCTTCCTGCTGCTCTCAGTAATTATCTCTTGTCTAGGAATGTTTTGCAGTTGTTTCAAACTCTTAATGTTTTTAGATTATGGATTGATCAGGCATCTATAAAATGATCAAAGGGTTTACTTTATAACCAAACTCAGCTTTAAACTTCCCCAGATCTCCCTCCCTGGCTTCTCTGCTGGGTTTCTTGGTCTTGATGATTTTTTACTTGTGTATTCTGTCAAACCTCTATGGAAGAGGAATGGGGCCACTGAAAATTGTTTTAAAAAAGTTAACTGATTTTAACATTTTGTTTTAGCATAATATGGGAAAAAAGTCTGAATTCTAACTTTTTCCCCCCCTAAGAATTCAGATTTTTGTTCCCATATTAAACAAAAAAATTTTTTTTTAAATCAGTTACATTTTTTTAGTTGCCCAAATCCTCTTTCGTACTACAATCTCTTCATTCATGGTCAGACTACCGAGATTAAAGTCAGACCACCGAGATTAAAGTCAGACCACCGAGATTAAAGTCAGACTACCGAGATTAAAGTCAGACTACCGAGATTAAAGTCAGACCACCGAGATTAAAGTCAGACCACCGAGATTAAAGTCAGACTACTGAGATTAAAGTCAGACTACTGAGATTAAAGGAATAGTACACCCAAAACATGATTAGCCTTCATTTTCTACTCACCCCCATGCTGAACAACACCCTGGAGTACTTTTTTGATATCTCAAATGCATCTGGAGATCTGGGAGGCTTCTTGCTGTCTGCTGACATTCAAATAATGGAGGTCTATGGCGCCCGAGACAGAAAGGTCCATAAAAGTCCACAAAAACGTGTCAATATTCCTCCATACTGCTCGTCCAATGTATTCCAAGTGTCCTGAGTGGGTAGCATCCAGAATTTACTCGAAACGAAGTCATTTAGAATGTTTTTAGAGCATAAACAGTAGTGTATAGGATTTCCTGAAAGCGCGCACATGCGCGATCACGACGCTACGGAAGCCGGCAGACCAAACCAGCGCATTCAGCTCGGCAAAGAACTCATGCTCTTCCTCAACACTGAAGTCCTCAGACATTTTTCTTTTGTTGTTTCTTTCTTTGGACAGGTAAACAGCACATTTCTTCTTCTACGCTTGCATTATTGGCAGAGCAGACGCTGAATGCGCACTTTCATCTGGTTTGGTCTGCCGGCTTCCGTAGCGTCGTGAGCGCGCATGTGCGTGCTTTCAGGAAATCCTATACACTACTGTTTATGCTCTAGAAACATTCTAAATGACTTCGTTTCAAGTAAATTCTGGATGCTACCCACTCAGGACACTTGGAATACATTGGACGACCAGTATGGAGGAATATTGACACGTTTTTTGTGGACTTTTATGGACCTTTCTGCCTCGGGCGCTGGGCACCTCCATTATTTGAATGTCAGCAGACAGCAAGAAGCCTCCCAGATCTCCAGATGCATTTGAGATATCAAAAAAGTACTCCAGAGTGTTGTTCAGCATGGGGGTGAGTAGAAAATGAAGGCTAATCGTGTTTTGGGTGTACTATTCCTTTAAAGTCAGACCCCCGAGATTAAAGTCAGACCTCCGAGATTAAAGTCAGACCTCCGAGATTAAAGTCAGACCTCCGAGATTAAAGTCAGACCTCCGAGATTAAAGTCAGACCTCCGAGATTAAAGTCAGACTTCCGAGATTAAAGTCAGACTTCCGAGATTAAAGTCAGACCTCCGAGATTAAAGTCAGACCTCCGAGATTAAAGTCAGACCTCCGAGATTAAAGTCAGACTTCCGAGATTAAAGTCAGACCTCCGAGATTAAAGTCAGACCTCCGAGATTAAAGTCAGACCTCCGAGATTAAAGTCAGACCTCCGAGATTAAAGTCAGACCTCCGAGATTAAAGTCAGACCTCCGAGATTAAAGTCAGACCTCCGACATTAAAGTCAGACCTCCGAGATTAAAGTCAGACCTCCGAGATTAAAGTCAGACCTCCGAGATTAAAGTCAGACCTCCGAGATTAAAGTCAGACCTCCGAGATTAAAGTCAGACCTCCGAGATTAAAGTCAGACCTCCGAGATTAAAGTCAGACCTCCGAGATTAAAGTCAGACCTCCGAGATTAAAGTCAGACTTCCGAGATTAAAGTCAGACTTCCGAGATTAAAGTCAGACTTCCGAGATTAAAGTCAGACTTCCGAGATTAAAGTCAGACCTCCGAGATTAAAGTCAGACCTCCGAGATTAAAGTCAGACTTCCGAGATTAAAGTCAGACTTCCGAGATTAAAGTCAGACTTCCGAGATTAAAGTCAGACTTCCGAGATTAAAGTCAGACCTCCGAGATTAAAGTCAGACCTCCGAGATTAAAGTCAGACCTCCGAGATTAAAGTCAGACCTCCGAGATTAAAGTCAGACCTCCGAGATTAAAGTCAGACCTCCGAGATTAAAGTCAGACTTCCGAGATTAAAGTCAGACCTCCGAGATTAAAGTCAGACTTCTGAGATTAAAGTCAGACCTCCGAGATTAAAGTCAGACCTCCGAGATTAAAGTCAGACTACTGAGATTAAAGTCAGACTTCTGAGATTTAAGGCAGACTTTTGACGTTTTCTGCCATATTATACTGAAATAAAATGTAAACCCCTGAGACCTTCACAGTACAGCTCTATTTTTAATTTACCAATCTGGTTACTTCTGAAAATTACTGGATTTTATAAAGCGATTCATGTTTTTATGGTAAAAAGGTATTAACTGTTTTTTTTTTCATCCACCTCACAGTTATGCTTTTTGCGTTTAGCTAAGGAGGTACTTTTGTAAAGAATGTGTATATATCACCATCAGGCACTGAAGATTTTTATATGATTCAGAGGAAAAATGGCAGCCTGCGAGGACTATGAATCTTGAATGATCAATGAAGCTGGAGCAGACCTGTGTGATAGCCGTTGTCTGAGGTGTAGAAGATGTAAGTGTTGTTCAGCTCGTTTATGCTGTCCAGTTTCTTCACCAGCTTCTCCACCATGTCGTCCACAGACAGCAGCACCTGCCACCTGCAGGGTAAAGCATTTTAGTTCAGTTTACACACTTTAAAGTGACCTGCTGAGACTCTAAAGTGTTCAAACTATTTCTGGTGTTGTGTGCGCTCCCTGATGATCCTCTGCAGACAAAGGACAGACCCAATAACAGCAGGTATTCATTTATTCCAGTTATAACTTCAATATATGATTTGAAGCAAAGGTGATGCGTAGGTTACAGTTTTCTCACTCTAGTAAAGGTTGCTAGGTGAGGCGCAGTGCCTGCTGATTGATGTAATAATTTTAGATTCAGTTCTCAGACACCAAGAAATTACTTCCAAAAAACAGCTGAATGTTTTTAGCACTTGCTTTTAGAAGGAACCTGTGATATGGAAGAGGATTAGGGCCACTGCAAAAAAAGTTTACTGCTTTTTTATATATTTTTTTAGCTTAATATTGGAAAAAAATTCAGATTGAAATAATTACCAAAAGCCAGTGTAGGTGCTAGCTCTGCTCGAGGCCCCGCCCCTTCTTATGACGTCGTTATATGGCAACTCCACTCTGACAAACTGTATTACACCAATTTATTTAGGGTAAAATATCTTTTTTGGGTTCTCAACATATTATTACCTATTACCTATATTTGCTATATTTTACGTTTCATCGATGATCTAAAGTAGCCAAAAGTAGAAAACCATCATTGTCAGTCTTGAAGGAAAGTGCTGCTTTCTAAGACTGAGCTCTGCCATTTAACAAGGTGACAAAAAAGTCTCAACTAATTTTTATTCTTTTATTAAGATCTAAGGGCAGTGGAGGACAAATGTGACATCTTAAAAAATAACTTTGGTAGAGATTTTAGACAAATAAAACTTATTTTATTTGTAGAAAATGAACGGTTGTTGTTGACACAAAGTTAAAAGTAGTGTAGCTTAATGTGGCTAACTGACCAAGCTAAAATCCGCTAACCTGTTAGCTACTGAGCACAGCTAGCCACAGCACTACCCAGGTCTCCCCCTTTATATCATGGACTAACAGTTACTTTGTTCACCATAAACAGGTTTTTTTCAGTTTTGTTATCGATCAGGTAAAAATTAATTGGTCAGTTCCCGACTCGGCACACTGACGCTGTGTGATGTTTAAATAGCAATTTCCAACTTTTGTGACAACATAGTCTGATAAAAAGTACATTTTTATATACATGTTTAAGCTTAAATGAGTTGACATTTAAATACGATTTCCCTACGACTTTATAAGTTATTTTTAAATTTAAGTTCAGGCAAGATATCATTTATGAAATGTTTTAGAGAGAGAATTACAAGCCTGCATTTTATCACTTTTTTTTAACCCAACTTTTTCCAATTTAAAGAGCAAAACTTCCCAGTACCTTTTCCTGTATGCGTTATCCAGGTAGGTAAGGGAGCTGTTCGGCATGGGGTTGACAGGCTGGCGTAGCAGCCAGTGCTTGTCCTGAAAAAAAAAAAAAAGGGGGGGGCTCTTTAGATATTCAGACAAAAACTGAAGCTAGCTAAGCCTGTAGTTAGCACAACTAAGATCTGGACCAGTGAGGCTGTGGAGGAGCTCCGCACGTGTCTGGAAACCACAGACTGGGAGGTGTTCAGGGCTGCTACAGATAATCTGGACGAGTACACTGACATTGTGACCTCTTACATACAGTACAATGAGGAGCGCATCCTACCAACGCGCACCAGGGTGCGTTATGCAAACGACAAGCCCTGGTTCACACCTAAGCTCGGCCAGATTCGACGAGAGAAGGAGGCAGCACGCAAGAGCGGGGACAGAGACAGCTACAAAGAGGTGAAATACAGGTTTAGCAGGGAGATGAGGAAGGCTAAATCTGTGTATGCAAATCGCCTCCAGCAGCAGTTCTCTGCCAACGACTCTGCCACAGTGTGGAGGGGCCTCAGGGCTATTACCAACTACAAGCCCAAAGCCCCCCGAGCTCTGAATGACCGGGCACTGTGTGAAAGACTGAATACACACTACTGCCGTTTCGACTGTCCCAGAGCCGTTAGCACCTCTCTGGTCTCTCCAGCCACCCCCTCCTCCCCCAACACAACTGAGGCCACTCCATCAAAGGCCCCCTCAATCCACCCCTTGTCCCCCCCTGCCCTCTGCATCCTGGAGCAGGACGTGCACAGACAGTTTCTGAAGCTGAACACCCGTAAAGCTGCTGGCCCTGACGGCGTTTCTCCCTCCACCCTGAAACACTGTGCCAGCGAACTGTCTCCTGTCTTCACGGACATTTTTAACATCTCCTTGGAGTCATGCCATGTGCCGGGCTGCTTCAAATCCTCCACCATTGTTCCTGTCCCGAAGAAACCAAGGATCACAGGACTAAATGACTACAGGCCGGTGGCGCTGACGTCTGTGGTCATGAAGTCCTTTGAGCGATTGGTTCTGCAACACCTAAAATCCATCACCGCCCCCCTCCTGGACCCGCTGCAGTTCGCCTACAGAGCCAACAGGTCCGTAGACGACGCAGTCAACCTGGCCCTCCACTTCATCCTGCAGCATCTGGACTCCCCAGGAACCTACGCCAGGATCCTGTTCGTGGACTTCAGCTCTGCCTTCAACTCCATCCTCCCGGGTCTGCTCCAGGACAAGCTGTACCAGCTCAACGTGCCCAGCTCCCTCTGCAGGTGGATTACTGACTTCCTGACGGACCGGAGACAGCACGTGAGGCTGGGAACAACTGTCTCTGACACACGGACCATCAACATCGGATCCCCCCAGGGCTGTGTCCTTTCCCCCTGGCTTTTCTCCCTGTACACCAACTGCTGCACCTCCAGCCATCAGTCCGTGAAACTGATCAAGTTTGCGGACGACACCACCCTCATCGGGCTCATCTCCGACGGTGATGAGTCTGCCTACAGGAGGGAGGTGGACCGGCTGGTGTCCTGGTGCAGCAGCAACAACCTGGATCTGAACACCCAAAAGACAGTGGAGATGATTGTGGACTTTAGAAAGGTGACAGCCCCACCGTCCCCCCTTGCCCTCACAGACAGCCCCACCCCCATCTCCAACGTGGAGTCCTTCCGCTTCCTGGGCACCACCATCACCCAGGACCTCAAGTGGGAGCCGACCATCAGCTCCCTCGTCAAGAAGGCCCAGCAGAGGATGTTCTTTCTGCGGCAGCTGAGGAAACTTAAGCTGCCAACCCGGATGTTGGTGCAGTTTTACACCTCCATCATTGAGTCCATCCTCACATCCTCCATCACCGTGTGGTACACTGGCGCCACCGCCAGGGACAGATACCAACTGCAGCGCATTGTGCGCTCCGCTGAGAAGGTGATCGGCTGTAAGCTGCCATCACTCCAGGACCTGTATGTCTCCAGGACCAGGAGACGTGCAGGTCGCATCACAGCCGACCCTTCTCACCCTGGACACAGACTGTTTGAACCTCTCCCCTCAGGGAGGAGGCTACGGTCCATACGGACCAGAACCTCCCGCCATAAAAACAGCTTCTTCCCCTCTGCCATAAGACTCATGAACACTATATGTCAGACTCCATAACCTGCCCATGCCATTCACACTGCTCTATTTGCACTATCTTGTACATTTTACTTTTTATATTTATCCATATTTTTATCTTAAGTGTATATATTAGTATATTTTTTGCATGCCTTATACCCTAGTGTTTTTAGAGATTTTTATAATTTTATTTACTATTTCATATATGTTTCATGTTGCACGACTGTACCACAGAAATTTCGTAGTTGTGAACCTCTTCACTAACAATGGCAATAAACCCGATTCTGATTCTGAAAACCAGGGTTCATCTGTGTAAATCTGTCCGTCTCGTACCTTTCCTGGTTTGTCGAAGCTTCCGTCTCGGGGGGCCTGCACGTTGTTGAACTCTTTCTGGTACTGAGGCGCTGCCATCCACGGGGAGTGAGGCGCTGGAGGCGCCAGCATGATGAAGAAGGGATGCTGGGGGCTTCTGTCATCAAGGAAGCTGAGTGAACGGTTGAGCTGGATCAAGGAGAAAACCCAGAATTACCTTTCAGACCAACAACAGGTGTTTTTACAGTGAAGGTCGGAGGATCAGAACCTGCATTTGGTAAAAATGGGAGCCAGGGAGGGAAGACTGATGGATACTTTAGTTAATGTGGTTGAGCAGGATCATGGGAACATCTGGATGATTCTTTAAAACTGCCACACTTCTTCACAGTGTCAAATTTAACTTCTTGAAAAAGCATTTATTTTAGTATGTGGGTGACAAGTTGGTGCAGCACCGAGTCCAACCATAAAGAAATAAATTGTCTGGATGATACAAATTGTTATTTATAGTTGTTATATTTATTTGTTATTGAATACTAACAGGTCATAATAAAAATTAGCTTAAAGGAAACAAAACTAACGAGTCTATTTTTAAAATGTGAGGAGAAGTAAAAAGTTGTCCAAGATATAATTACTCCAGTAAATTAAAGATAGCCAACATTTCTACTCAAGTAAGGCAACAAAATATTTACACTTTGTTATTTGACACCTCTGGCTCATTGACTCTTCAGCAATCCCTCACACCAAGCATGCTTTCAACGACAGTGGAGAGAAAAACTCCCTTTTAGGGGCTCAAGGAGACAGAAAGTCACAGTTTTCAGGCAGCACTGCCAACTTAAGGGATAAAAACTTAATATATCTGATCCCTTGCTTTCTACTTCATTGCTTTAACTAGTGTTGCACCAATATCGACCATTATCGGGCCAGGCCCCGATCCAGCACTAAAATGGTGGTATCAGTATCAGCGAGTACCAACAAATAGGGCACCGATACCATTTAATAGTTTATTAAAACTATTGTCACCCATTCCAGGTAGGCAATAAAAAGTTCTAATGGATTCTCTTCATATTACTATTTTTCCTGCTTCACAAAGGTAGGCAGCAGCTTGACGAAGCCATGACGGCCATTATTTTACATCCAAGTAGTATGCAGTTCTTCATATATATACACACACACACACACACACACATCAATCGGTGTCGGTATGGTATCAGGCAATACTGCACAGCCAGGTATCAGGCAACACTAGTTTTAACTCACAAGTACATATCTGTAAGAAATAACTAAAAAGAAAAAAAAAAAAAAACATGTTTTATTTGACAGATTTAATATTTTAAAGTTCTTTTTTGTACCTAAAATACTTACCAAGCTCTGTTCCAGTCTGGAACTTGGACTTTTCTGACATTTTCACAGTAGCTGGGTTAGCAACCAGGGTAACCTACTGACATATAATTTCTAATCATATAAAAACCAGCGGGGTCCGAATAAAGAAGATCATTAACCAGTAAAGGTCCGGAGACAATTTTAACTATTATCTGTTACTTTAAACAGAATTTATCACTAAAATAAAATGAGGTGTTTATTATTTTAGAAATTCAATGTATAACATGTATGCATAAAGTATTTAAAAAAAAGAAAATTTTTCCATTTTAAAACTTAAATTGTTTTTTGAAGTATAGAACAAAAATCGTTTAGCTTGGTATAAAGACAATTTCCTGATTCACACATTTTATAAAACACCTGATCTGACTGTTTTTTTCTTTTTTCTGTCTTGATGTTGGCAGTGGGCTTTATGCTGCCCTGCAAGGCTTTAAACCTGGGTTTGAATGGAGACTAAGCCATTCTAAAGCACATATCAAGGAGCTCATTTTGATCCTGGATTCATATTTATTTTGATTCTGTTCATGGTGGAGAATCCTGCTTCACAGCAGCAGGTTGAGCCAAACATCCTCTAAATGTGCAGGGTCATCTTTGTGCACCATTTCACTTTTCTTTCACCAGTTCACCACAGTTCTTCCAGTAGTCCACACTTTCTCTGCTCTCTTTTTCTCATCATCTTCTCCTTCTTTCCCATCGCCCGGCTTGCCACAGGTTTGCCTGCTGTGTCTAAAAGTAGCAGCAGCAGCAACCCAGACTGACAGCAGCTCATTGGATCATTTGGATCATGTGCAGCCTGGAGCCGGACGCGCTGGAGGGCTTTACCGTATTAACAGGAGAAGCAGCGCAAGTGAAGTTAGACACTGTTTTTGGACAACATGCGGTCATTTGTAAATGTTTTAAATCAGGTTGGGTCCAGATTAGCCAGCAGGTGGCTCCGGATCCGGACTGCAGTCCGCTAATATGTCACCTCTGATATAAAACATTAAATAACAGGACTATACACCTTTTAGTCTTTTTCTGTAAAGCTGAAAAATGGCTCCAACATCAGGAAAGGCAACCAAGGTAAAAACTTTACCAAGTCTGTGAGTAGATCGTATTGTCTTACTGTAGCAAACACGGAATAAGGGAGCAGCCGAAAAGACAAAAACTATGAGAATCCCATAGCAGCTTATTTTAAATGTAACTATTAATTCTAGGTACCCACTGTCTTAATGTGCTATTTTTACACTGCCCTATTCTTCTGTCAAAGAGCAGCTTTAAGCAGAAACACCAACATGTCTGTTCTCAGCTTGTTTCACACAGGAAGGTCTTTTGTGGTGCACCAGTTTTCCATCTCCATTTCCTGTGTGATTATTACACCTCCTCAGTAAATAACCACCCAATAATGCATGACTGGTATTTACAGCTTTAGAAAATAGCTTTGACATCAACTACCCCACGATTTGACATCAGAGCTTTTAGAAACAGCTGTTAGCTGTTAGCTTTAGCCACCAGGATCAGACAGTCGGGGTTTATGCTAAATGATAGATCACTGAAAAATTAAAATCTATTCAAGTCAATTTGTTTAAATAGGTTCATTTTGATCTGATTTGAGCAAGAAAGCAAATAATAATAAAAAATATATATAAATGTCTCCATTATCTTATTTTAAGTGCATAATACCCAATCAACTTATTTTTAAGGGCCAAAATACTAATTTCATCGGCAGATAGGGTTGCCAACTGTCCCTTAAAAAATTGAATCGTTCTGCATTTAAAAAAGAGAAGTACCTGTCCTGTAATTAGTGGAAAAGGAACGCATTTTGTCCCGTATTACTGTGAGAGTAAAAAAAAAAATTAGGCGTCCCTTTTTTCTCTCAGGAGTTGGCAACCCTACTGGCAGATCATCTTATTTACCTGCTCAAATTGAGACTAAATGCATTTAGAGATTTTCGTTATTTATTTTTAGATCAGTTGTTGCAATGTGCCAAGAAAGTTAGGTAAGAAGTTAACTGCCATTAATAATTGAAAAGAACATTGTTCCCAACCTCATGAAGCATCCCTGTAAAGCTCATGTGTCAAACTGGAGGCCCATGAGCCGAATCCAGTTACCTTGCAAGCAAGATGAACTATTATATTTGTGAATTCACCACCTACCAAAAATACATCTTTCCATAAACCCACCGAGGTGTTAGTCTCAACTAAAGAAATGTTTCCAACCAATGAAATGCAGCGATGTGCATGACATCAACCAGAAGGGGAAGGCTGAAGCAAAACAAACATGGCCGCCCCTGTTCTATTACCTGTAGACAGCACCACACACCGTTTTAGCAGTAATACCCTCCATTACACTGGAAAAACGATCTAGAAATGAGTAAAACATTTCTTAAATTAAGTGTATTTACCCTTAATTTGAGTAGTTAAATGAGATAGTTTGCCAATGGAATGAGTATTTTTACTCTTAAAATAAGATAATTAGATAAAATGCACTAGAAATAAGAAAATGCAATTTTGTTTTCTTATCTTAAATGTAAATTGTTCCAATGGCAAAATGTCAAAATTACCTCATCAATCCAAGAACAAATACACTTATTTTAAGAAAAGATGACTTATCAAGAGTTTGATTTTTTTTCCATTGTACTTTTTGGAAAAAGAAGCAAAAGGACATGATTTGTGCCTTGATGGATGGGAAAGATGTTTGCACAGCACATACAAATTATAAGTGAATGTAAATTAGTAAGGAAAGGTCGCAGCTGCTGCGATTAGCTAAAAGCTGAACATGGGAGGCAGGTCTGTGACACCTTGGCGATTTAGCCAGCGTATGCCCGACGTCCCAGAATCTTCTAAAACGCCGGCATGCGATAAACTTTCTATGTATTTTTTATAATTTTGGGTGTATGCCTATAGTATTCAAAACGAGTCCAGAACTTATGTTTAAAACAGCCTAACTTATGCATAACGCACAACAGCATAATGCCATTAAATGATGTACAAGCCAGTGTCCTGAGGGGGGGCGGCAATGCCCACCGAGGAGCCCGGCCTGCATAGAAAGATCTCTTTGATGGTGGCACTAACCTAGCTGCTGTTTGCTACGACGGAGTATTAGGGCCAGGCTAGAGAGGTTTTTTTTCTTCCATTACGGAGTAAAAATGTAAAATTACGAGAATAAAGATGTAATATTAAGATATCCTAAAATAAATAAAAAAACTGTTGTATTTCATGACAACTCCTACAAGAAGCACTTTCTTCCAAAACGAGGAATGTTGAGCATCATGTGAAGTTAAACTTTTGCTCTGGTTTGACAAATAAATAACTACCGTATTCTAGCTGCAAATGTCTGGTTTTTGGTGCAATATCTACCTAGGTGTATAGAGGCCCATTTCCAGCAACTATCACTCCAGTGTTCTAATGGTACAATGTGTTTGCTCATTGGCTCAGAAGGCTAATTGATGATTAGAAAACCCTTGTGCAATCATGTTCACACATCTGAAAATGGTTCAAAATGGCCAGAAAAAGAGAACTTTCATCTGAAACTCGACAGTCTATTCTTGTTCTTAGAAATGAAGGCTATTCCATGCGAGAAATTGCTAAGAAATTGAAGATTTCCTACAACTGTGTGTACTACTCTCTTCAGAGGACAGCACAAACAGGCTCTAACCAGAGAAGAAAAAGAAGTGGGAGGCCGCGTTGCACAACTGAGCAAGAAGATAAGTACATTAGAGTCTCTAGTTTGAGGAACAGACGCCTAACAGGTCCAGACCTGGCATCTTCATTAAATAGTACCCGCAACACCAGTGTCAACATCTACAGTGAAGAGGCGGCTGTGGGATTCTGGGCTTCAGGGCAGAGTGGCAAAGAAAAAGCCATATCTGAGACTGGCCAATAAAAGAAAAAGATTAAGATGGGCAAAAGAACACAGATATTAGACAGAGGAAGACTGGAAAAAAGTGTTGTGGACAGATGAATCCAAGTTTGAGGTGTTTGGATCATAAAGAAGAACGTTTGTGAGACGCAGAACAAATGAAAAGATGCTGGAAGAATACCTGACGCCATCTGTTAAGCATGGTGGAGTTAATGTGATGGTCTGGGGTTGCTTTGGTGCAGGTAAGGTGGGAGATTTGTACAGGGTAAAAGGGATTCTGAATAAGGAAGGCTATCACTCCATTTTGCAACGCCATGCCATACCCAGTGGACAGCGCTTGATTGGAGCCAATTTCATCCTACAACAGGACAATGACCCTAAACACACCTCCAAATTGTGCAAGAACTATTTAGAGCAGAAGCAGGCAGCTGGTATTCTACCGGTAATGGAGTGGCCAGCGCAGTCACCAGATCTGAACCCCATTGAGCTGCTGTGGGAGGAGCTTGACCGTATGGTACGCAAGAAGTGCCAATCCAACCAATCCAACTTGTGGGAGCTGCTTCTGGAAGCGTGGGGTGCAATTTCTCCAGATTACCTCAACAAATTAACAGCTAGAATGCCAAAGGTCTGCAATGCTGTAATTGCTGCAAATGGAGGATTCTTTGACGAAAGATTCTTTGACGAAGTTTTTATAAAAATCTTATTTCAAATACAATTCATTATTTCTAACCGTATCAATGTCTTGACTCTATTTTCTATTAATTTCAAAGCGTATGGTGGTGAATAAGTGTGACTTAATACAAAATTGTTCTAGTGACCCCAAACTTTTGAACGGTAGTGTAAGTACTTGATAAGTTATGCACAAGTTACTCATAGGTTATGGATAAGCAAGACGGCACGACTTAAAGGGATAGTTCGGGATTTTTGACATGAATCTGTATGGCATCCCCATCACCAGTGTCATGCAATCACACTGACTTACCCCTGGCAGCATCCTGTGAGCAGAGTTCTCGTCCAGCTTTGGTCAAGCCGAAAGTAGTCCGGCAGGTTTGCTAGACCCAGCGAAATAGAACGTTTCTCTTCCCAAAACATTATGTGTTCAAAAGAGTGATATTTTTGCATCCCAAAAACATTGTAGTGGAAAAAGTCACACGTCGTTATCACTTGGTCCTATTTTCTCTCTGTTCGTATCAGTGCGCGCGACACCATGACCTGACAGCTAGGGCCTACTAACCCGACAACAGCCAGATGCATGTCTCGCTCCGCCTAGCTCCTAGCTGGGCGGAGCGAGACATGCATCTGGCTGTTGTTGAGCTCGCTGTCAGAATGACGGCGCGCACTGATACGAACAGAGAGAAAATAGGACCAAGTGATCACGACGTGTGACTTTTTCCACTACAATGTTTTTGGGATGCAAAAATATCACTCTTTTGAACACATAATGTTTTGGGAAGAGAAACGTTCTATTTCGCTGGGTCTAGCAAACCTGCCGGACTACTTTCGGCTTGACCAAAGCTGGACGAGAACTCTGCTCACAGGATGCTGCCAGGGGTAAGTCAGTGTGATTGCATGACACTGGTGATGGGGATGCCATACAGATTCATGTCAAAAATCCCGAACTATCCCTTTAAGGCTGATTTATACTAAGAAACCAGGTCATCTGAGCGTGTGTCACAGTGAACGCAAATGTGACCCCTTCCACAGACACTCTGGTGCACCTCTCCACGGTGACCGCAGACAGAGCAGACAGGAGGCCTCTGATTGGTCAAATCTACATCTGTTCTACACTATCCGCATTTCTTTCTTGTGGAAAACAACACATGAAGATGGATCAGCTAGAAGAGTGAAGTGCCTGAGAACGCTGGGACCCTTTTTCCACCTGGATCCACGTTCTTTTTGGCCCTCATGTCCCTCCGTTTTTGCTCAAACTTGCCCCCACTTCCTCACCGCCTCGGCCGGATCTAGACCCACAGTTAGTTCCCGATTGTCTCTCGTGCATTGTGGCACGGAATAACATAGCGCAGACCATGCTTCAATGTTGAGCAAAAATAAGAGTCAAGTTTTGCTTGCACCATGCTGTACTTTCACTTCCCTCTCCCCTTAAATGCTACTTTAACGACTCACTGAAACAAACCGATCGGGGTTTATTTATATTATTCTCTGAAATTGGTGCATCTTCACTTGTCATGTCAGGATAGCAGCAGATAACTGATCTTTAATGATCTATGTGGTTTTCTTGAGATTGGAAGATCATTTTCTCGCAATAAGAAGATAAGGAAGCCTGTTTTCCTGTAATAAAACTTTTATTTGTGGGGGGGTGAGCTTAAATATGATCATGGTAATAATTGATGGTTTTAGTTTTATGGTTCTGCATTTCGATGCCTCAGACTAGTTTACCAAATCCTCTCACAGCATGCCATCATGGAGCATTTATGTGCTAATCATTAAATACAGAATATTTCTAGGGAATCTTATCTGTGATCAAAAATCTTTGATAAACTCTAGCTAAGCAGCTGCTAAATGGAATGGTTAAAGCATTACAAAAGCACATTTCTGCCACCAATCAACCTGAAAGACTTAACTTTTATAAGGCTAGTTACCATTTTGATCACTTGCATAACCCTCACAAATGGAGCCCCCCCCATCCCTCAGTGATGTCTAGAAGCAAAAGATCTATATCCAGCCATTCAGCAGAGTTACTGCTACATGGCTGTACATCTTATTTTGGCATTGGACCAATTAGATGAGCCCTTGAATGATATATTACCTTCTGTAAATTAAGTTGGAAAAAAAGTCAAGAAAAAAGGTAAAAAGCTGATTGAAAAGTTAAAAAGATAAGTTAAAAAGTTAATAAACCAAGTTTACAATTATATTTAGGTTTATTAACTAAAAAATCTAAGTGCCGGTATCAGCATTAATGCCTCTTAGGTTATGTTGTACCAAAAAAATGTGTTTCTTTTACTCTTAGTGTTTTTCATAAATTTCTTACAGAAGCACTTTTATTTTTCTTAATATATTCGGGCAAGTTGCCGTTTCTTGTTATTGCATTGACATTAATTTTTACCCTCAAAATATCCATATTTTTTTAATGTTACAAAGGTAATACAGTCTTATCCTGGATAGTTGCCTTTTTCTATGTCTGCTTCTGTCTCCTTGAACCCCAGTCGGCCTCAGTTGATGGCCGCTCACATTGAGCCTGGTTCCTTTGGAGGTTTCTTCCTGTTAAAAGGGAGTTTTTCCTCTCCACTGTCGCTAAAAGCATGCTTAGTGTGAGGGATTGCTGAAGAGTCAATGATTCGATGCAATCAGCTGGTTTTCCTTAGATAGAAAACTTTAAATAAATCTGACTGGATGATAGGGTGAACTGTAAAGGTCCTTGAGAAAATGTGTTGTGAATTGGCGCTATAGAAATAAACTGTATTCAATCACTCAACCAAGGAAACATTCAGTTGCGTTCAGAGAAAGAAAACAAAACTGCGAAAATGGCCTAGCCAATCGGTTGACTTGAATCCAATAGATATTCCATTAAAAGAAGAAAAAGATCTGAGCAACTCATAGCAGAGGCCCACCAAACCTTCAAGATTTGAAGCCTGTTTGTGTGGAGGAATGGGCCAAAATCACACCTGTGTAATACATGCGACTCCTTTCTCCATTTAAGAGGCGCCTTGAAGCTGTCATTGCCAACAAAGGCTTTTGTTCAAATTGTGATTAATCCATTATTTAAATAATCTGCAACTAATTTAGTAATCGATTAATCATTATCTGGAGAATAAGGACTCTGATATATGCCTTTAGTTGACAGACTATCCCACTTAGAGCACTTATTATACAGAAAAAAATAAAAATGTTTAAACATTTTGAATTTAAGTAAAAAAAATGTTTTCGTCTGTCAATATGCTCTATCCAGAACTCCTCAAGTGGAAAAGTTTTAGTTTCACCTGGTTAATTTCATAAAAATCGTCTTTAAGGAACCTTTGGCTTTCCGATTATTAATCGAAAAAACAATCCACAGATTAATTGCAAAGTAATCATTAGATGCAGCCCTAGTTCAAAGTATTAAATACATTTCAGTAAGTGTGTTCTTTCTTCACGTGTTCCATACTTTCTACCTGTGCCATTCTACATTATTACACTTAATTTTTGGGCATCTATGGTTTGATTTCTTTGTATGAGTAGATTGCTTGGACTGTTACAGACATCTGGTGAAAATGTCATGTCAGTAGCACCTCTAGAAATATATTTACTGAGAAAATGGCCTGTTTTCACCCACTGTAGCTGGTTGGGCTGGTTCACAAACTATCACCTGATGAGGAAAACATGTGGCAGCAAGAAATGTCATCACTATATGAAGCAGAGGTTCATCATGTTGAGTTTGGCAGTCACATGACTGCAGCAGCTGGCTTCTCTAGCCGATGATTAACCTTACGCAATGCCAGGTTCCTGTGTTAGCAGCTGATCTGTAAATCCTTACATAAGCATCAGTTCAACTGTGTGCCTTCATGAAACGCAGCCATCACAAGCAGGACTCACAATGAGGTCCGTCAGGTAGTCCTTCTCATAGCTGTCTCCATGCTGCTCCGTTTTCCCGTTCACTGACAAAGTGTAGTTGTAATACTGGGAGTTTCCCACCTGTGAATCACAGCAGCGGTCAGGGGAACAGAGCGATGCACTGAGGAAGCATTTTAACGCAGCGCTCACCAAGGCGTTCCACTGGTCCCAGCCCACTGGAACATGGCCCACATCTCCTGCACTTTTGGAGCCGTACTGATAGAAAATAAACAAACAGCACAAGTTTGTTTTAATGCAAATTCTTTCAGGATCAACAGACTGTAGGTCATTAATGTTTCTCTCTGCAAGCAGAAATTATTTTAAGAGCAGGTTTTAGTTTAGTTTTTATTACAGTCTTCTGACTGAAATTGTGCAGTCAGAAGCAATCAAGTCATTTTGGTTTTATTGGAGTAAAGGTTTTATATGAGAGAGGACAAAATTTACTCTGATTTTAGTTGAGTAAGGTACAAATGTGCAGGTTAATGTATTTTAGGGTTTCTTTCATGGGGAAATCGTTATGGGATGGAAATAATATGAGATTACGCCTCATTGGCTAGTTTTTTTTTTTATATATATGAGAAGTATGCTGATGAAGGTTCTCAGTCATCCAGGTCATAGTCATTCCGTAAAAATTCAAAAAAAATATCCACTGGGCTTGGTTTTCAAGATTATAAGACGTTTCGCCACCTCTCCAGGAAGCTTTCTCAATTCAAATGTCTGGATCCGCAGTGAGTTTGAGGCCCCGTCCACACGAAGTCAAAACGAACACGAAACGCTGATATTTTCCAAAACGTTTGCCGTAAAGACGGAGACGTAAAATAAATGTGAGCGTCCACACGAATGCATGAAAACGCTGCAAAATGTATGCCAGGCCTGTAAGTGGCGCTGTGGTGCCAAAGCAAAAATAAGCAACGAAATGTTGGGCATGCGCACTAACATTTATACATGTTTGCCCTGCGGGAGGCTGCTGTTGAATGGGATTCCTACTGACAGTGCTCAGAAGGCAGGATGATAATCTGGATGAACTGACTGCACTGATTAAGTTTTCAGGTGGACTTTCTCACTTAAAAACATATTAAAACTACTTTATTCCCACTGATCACAGCAAATATAGCTGCAAGGCAAAGAAAGGATAGAGTAGCTCCGCCCAACGCGCGTCAGGCCCACTTTTGCACCACGCAGCCATAGCAGCTAAGATGCTTCAGCCGCGCGTCAGAACTAACTGGTACAAGCAGCAAAAATGAAGCAGCAGACGCGATTTTGCTGCTATTGCTGCGTCCGGTGTGAAAGTAGCGTTACTTTGAACGGCCGGTTCACACAGATGTTGAGCGGTTGAAGTTCCTTTGTCAGACCTCCCGGAATAACAGCAAGCACAGCGTTCATTTGTTTCCCCATGTTTTTCACATCAGCTGTGAGATGGGCATGCATGGAGTCACAGATTAACAGCGATGGTGATGCGTGGAAAAAAAACACCTGGTCTCCTTACATACACCTCCCTCAGCCACGCTTTCATCACGTTCTGCATAAAGCACATACCTGTTCTTTTATACACAATCCACGCCCACACTTCCCCCTTTAACGTTCTCATGGCGGTCTCAAACGTCCGCAGTAACAACACACATAGGGCGCACCGCACATTTTGAGGGGAAAAAAAAGACGTTTGTGTTGGTGCCATTTTCTATTTAGTAATTTACATTCATATTTAGTTATTATTTTTGGATATGTTCAGTATTTGCATATTATAGGATATTTCTGATTGCATTATAAATACGTTACTGCTTTACTATTTTCATAATTTCCTTTGGTTTCAATTTGCATTTGTTAATGCTTAGAATTATCTTGAATAATAGCTGATAGGAATTGACGTTGAGCGATGACGTTGCAGAGCTGTGCGTCTCTGAAAAAAAAAAAAAAAACTTGTGTGGTTTGTTCTGACTGGAAATAAAGACGGGGCGAACACACTGTTTTCTACCGTCGTTCAAATATCAACACGCGTAGACTCGTTCTTTCCGTCTGACTGAGTGGTTATTTGCATTCATGAGAAGAAACATTTAAGCACGGACATTTAGCCACTATAGTTTGTATGCGCCTTATAGTCGTGAAAATACGGTACCTGTCTCCTCGCTGAATGGAGCTGTAAACGGCGCTAAGTGACTTTCTGTGTAGAACTTCAGCTCTGAACCACAATCTATCTGGAGACTTGAGCAAGAAACAAGAGGAGGAGGTAGACGCTTTCCTAAGACCCGCCCCTTTCTTCTTCTGATTGGCTAATACTGTTACTTTCAGAGCGCTCCTTTGCTACCATTGGCTGACAAATGCAAGAGGGAATTAGATTTTTCTTTTTTATTTATTTATTTACCGTCAATTTATATGAGAGATTTTTTTTTTACCCATGGGCAATCGCTACGAGCCGGAAATCCGGCCTTGGGCTGGAATACTTTAATCCCTGTATATTACTTTTAATTAACCAATAAAGGCCTAAAATTAAATATATCCATGCCGACTATGATTAAATGTACTGATGTAGCATTCACTAAGCCTAGACTACTCTTAAAACTCAGCCATGTTTGAAAACCAATCAGATTAAATGCAAATGTAGAATATCCACCGCAGAGCGAGGAATAAATGCTAGCATTTTGTTTCATTGGGAAAGACGAGACAGGAATCCTTACCTGGTTCAGATACTTCCCGGCAAAGAACGTCTGGTATTTCTGTTTGCTGAGGTAGATGGGGAAAGCCTCGGCTTCGGGTCCTTTCTGCCACTGAACGCTGGAGCAGTTACCAGAAAGGGAGTTATTCCTCACCTCGTGGTTGTGGGGGTACCGACCCGTCAAAATGCTGCTCCTGCTCGGGCAGCACAGCGGCGTCACCGTGAACTACACAGGAGAAGGATGTAAAAAAAAAAAAGGTTGATGGTCACTGAAGGTTACTTCCTGTTAAAAGGGAGTTTTTCCTCTTTACTGTCACTACAAGCATGCTTAGTGTGAGGGATTGCATTTGAGTCAATGAGTCGATGCAATCAACTGGTTTTCCTTAGATAGAAAACTTTGAATCAATTTGACTGTATGATCTGGTTGAACTGTAAAGTGCCTTGATATGAGATGTGTTGTGAATTGGTGCTATAGAAATAAACTAAGTTGAAATTGTTGATGCTGTAATTACGACCCAGAGGAGGAAGTCTGCACAATAACTGTATCTTCCTAATCCACTGATTCTGCACAAAGGAAACCTGCGTGGTCAAACCATTATATCCACTTCTGCTAAGTGAACACTTAGAGGGGAGTAGAGTGTAATGCGAGTTTACAAGACGTAGATAAAAAGAAAAAGACTTTCCTTGTTTTTAATTCTTCTATTGTCTTATAAATAAGAGCACTTTCCAAGTTTAACTACCTAAGCTCTCAATTTAGAAAGAGAAAAAGAAAAGACAGGCATCTGTGAGACTAAAAAACAAATGCTTTTCCTGTGAACAGGAGAAACAGATGTAGGCCTAAAAATACCCTTCGCTTTTTGCTGCAGGGTAAAAACACTTACAGCGTTCACAAACGTCGCTCCCGCTTCTCCAATCAGCTCTTTCGTTTTCTTCATAGGCGTCTGCAGAAGAGAAACAAGAAGAGTCAGCTGCATCAATGTTTCACATGTCCCAGCTTGTGAACAAACTAGGGCGAAAAAAAAGAAACGGGAATTTGCAGAAATCAGTGGATCGGATGCTGATCTGATCGGCAGTTTAAATACATTCTACTTAGTTAAAAATGTTCGCCCGTGGATCAATAAACACATTAAAAGGAAATACAGTAAGGGCCTGAACCAAAAGCCAGAATATTAAAAGGTATTGTGCAGGATTTTTTAAAGGATTAGAGAAATAAAAAATGAGCGTGAGAGACTATTTCTCCTCATGCATGCCCTGTTTAAAATGAGCTGTTCTCATAGCTTATACAAGCTTACTGTGTCCACACTCTATAGCAAACACAGATAACTGACCGTTTGGACAGATGATCACTGCATTTTGCTCTGTTCGTCACATAACTCCTACTCCACTCCTGCGCCATTTTTGTTGTTAGTTACTACTGTGACAGCAAATCCCAGAATGCTTTGCGTGGAGAGCTCTCCGTGCAAAGCATTCTGGCGTATATCTGCCTCTTCTGAAGCCTTTCTTTTCTTCTTGTCGCTACCCGCTACGTCCTGGAAGCACGATCCGTCCTGCTCCATCAGCTCATTGCGCATCCTGATATACATCTGGATCGCCCTTGATTTGATTTTGTTAAAAAGACCTAAATGACATTTTTCCCTCCCCAAAAACAGTAAGCATACTAAAATATATTGTGTTAAAGGTTAATTATGTATTTCCTAAGTAAATAAATGCCTTAAAATCCTACGCTACTTCTGGTTGGTAACTTTTTCGGCTTTGGATTTAAACATAAATCTAGTCTTTTTGCATTTTATGTTTTCTTTCGTTTTAACCTTATGGTATATAGTGCATAATCTAAAGAAAGAAACAACTAAAATGCAGATTAACATGGTTTAATCATATTTTGCCGGACTGCTCTGAACATGTCCAATGATGACATCAGAGAAACAGTTTAACGAAGAAAACATTAAAATTTTCTCACAAAAGTCATAAAACTTTTTTTTTAAAGATGTGTATTAGCATACTTTATCGAGTTAAAGGTATAAATAAGTAATTTTATTACCATAATTACCTTATTTATGGACACCCGGGTGTATATTTGTTTGTGCATATGCAGGACGGATCGGGTTTCTCATAAACTTCGTAGACACCTTTTCTCTTCCGACCCTCGGCCATTTTCAAAGAACCGCGGTGAGAAAGGTGAGCTTCAATGATTGTCTGAAACCGTAGCTCACGCCTAAAAGTGCGCACGAGTAAAAAAAGATAGCTAATGGGACGAGCACCTAGAACAGCCTTATGTAAACATGTCACCATAATGATTGACAGTTAGGAGGACCGCTTATTTACATGATCCACCTGGAAATAAAAGATTGTCCTCTATACCTTTAAGTTTAGAAACCGCTAAAGTTTTCAAAAATCTGAATAAACCTGAGTGACAAGTTTTCTTCATGGAAAAAAAAAAGTTTATAATCCGAAACAACTTTGTACGAATACAAAATCAGTGACACCCATAAACTTTATGAGTTCATGTAGTTTAAACTCGTTGCATTTCCGAATTCTCCTGAGTGGTGCCCGACTTTACACGAGTGAATAAAGTGAATGTGATTGGTCAAATATAAAGGGGGCGGAAATTGTTGTGGCGGAAGGTTCGCAAGCAAGTTTGGTTGTGGCCGGTTTGTGGGAAGCATCTTGCTAACCAGTTAGCAACTTAGTGCTAGTAGGTTCCCAATGGGAAATTCCATTGGGACCAAGTAGCACTAAATTGGTGACTTAGAAACGACACTGTCAAGGAATGCTATGGACAGAGGAAACATGCAAGAGGAGGAGAGTTTAGTGTCGGAGGTCGTGGATGAGTCTCCTCTGTTTTATTTAGAGGAGGAAAGCGGGGATGAAGATGTTGTAGAAGAGGACGCCAGGGCGGCAGAAGCTCGATTTGGTGTAGAAGGCTTCCAGCCGTACATGTTTGAGCCCTTGCCTCGCAACGCTGCCAGTTCTGTTAGCTCTACGCCTGCTGAAGACACAGACGTCCATCCCCCTGAACACTGGGACGGAACTCAATGGGAAAGGAAATTATTCTTATTTCTTATTTCAACCGTTGCAACCTAAAAAATGTGATTGACAGATGACCGTTTATATATGATTAGCTTAATTTAGGTGTTCAGGCTGACGTATAACTGACTGGCCTGCAGAAGATAACGACAAAAACAGATTTTTAGAAAGGATTTTTTTCTTCTTTTTTTTTTTAAATAGAAATTTTCTAACATTTGGGACAACATAGTGTGATAAAAAGTACATTTATATGTTTAAGCCAGAATGATTTTGACATTTAAATACGATTTCCCTGCTGAAGACACAGACATCCATCCTCGTGAACACTGGGACGGAACTCAATGGGAAAGGAAATGATTCTTATTTCTTATTCCAACCGTTGCGTATATTAGCTGCGACATATGAATCAAGATGCTATGACCGAAAAAATTTGATTGACAGATGACCTTTGATGTATGATTGGCCGAATTTAGGTGTTCAGGATGACATATAACTAACTGGCCTGCAGAAGATAACGAAAAAAAACAAAACAAAAAAAAAACAAACAAAAAAACCACACAGATTTTAAGACAGGATTTTTTATTTTATTTTTTTAACAGAAATTATTTTTTTTACTTTTTGGGACAACATAGTCTGATATGATTGTGATTCCCCTACGACTTTAAGAACGAAGCTTCAAGCAGCATGTCTGTAAAATATCAGACTGAATGGAATTAATTTGTTACAAGTAAGAAATATAAACATAAAAATTTGTTTTTACCAAATAAAAAAATACAATACATACATGAAGCTTTGAAAAACTTTCTAATCAAAAAAAGGTTTTGAGAATAATAGCTCTTTTTAAAGGTTTTATTAAGTTCTGTTTCCATACTTTTTTTCCAAGATCAGTAGTCCCACTAAGGAAATAAAAACCTTAGAAACAAAGTAATTTATCTGGCAGCACTTCTTTGATACATACATTTTTTCTAAAGCTTGCATTTTTTTATATTTACAATTTGTCATATTTACCGTTTTTTCCCCAAATCATCTTCAATCTGCTAAATTATTCCATGTCGTATCTGCTTCTGTCTCCTTGATCCCCAGTCGGCCTCAGCACTGAGCCTGGTTCTGCTGGAGGTTTCCTCCTGTTAAAAGGGACTTTTTCCTCTCCACTGTCACTACAAGCATGCTTATTGTGAGGGATTGCATTCGAGTCAATGAGTCGATGCAATCAACTGGTTTTCCTTAGATAGAAAACTTGGAATCAATCTGACTGACTTTGAGTGAGTCAAATGCAATTGAATTGAATCAGTAGTCTCAGTTAAGGAAATAAAAACCTTAGAAACAAAGTAATTTATCTGGTGGCACTTCTAAAACTCCTCTTATTGGTAATAGAGCCATAAAAGCAGATGTGGAGATAATAATAGGGTAGTGGACTTCATACTCTGCATAGAATGACACCAAACTACAGATGGTTTATGTCTGAAGCTCACAGATTTCGTGCAAAGTAGTGATAATTGTGCCCCCCTGCAGTCACGAGCCTTTTCAGGATCAATACAGCCGATTAAAGCGGGTGTTTTCCGGACTCACCATCCCCCCCAGCTCCACGTCCTGGTCGTCCACCAGAACCAGGAGGATGTTGCTCGGTTTGACGCCCTCCGCACACCTGACGCAGCAGGTGAGCAGCGCCGCCAGCAGCGCGAGCGCTGCGGGGCGTCCTCTCCACCTGCGTCCCGTCGCTGCGCCGCCGCTCGCGCCTGTTGCAGCGTGAGCCGCCATGGGAGCCTCGGTGCTGCCGCTGGTCCTGCGGCGCTTAGACTCACGCTATAACCCGGTGGCTTTTCTGGGAAAAGGCCGGCTGGGACTCCTGGTCAGAGGGAGAGAGCAGCAGCTGCATGCGGAGCCTGCTGTTCGGGGGGCCAGGCTTTAAAGTTTGAGGAAATGGAGTCAGAAAGCAGCCGTCATATGACCGCGCTGCGTGGGAGGAGACGGAAAGCACCAACTTCTTCTTCTTCTTCTTATTGATTTTTATTGGCGGTTGGCAAAAAACGTTAGGTGAGCATTACCGCCACCAACTGGTATGGAGTGTGGACTACATGGCAGAAAAAAAAAATTTAAAAATTAAAATAAAACTATACCCTATTATACAACCTAATCTGTTTCAAAAATTCAAATATAACCCGATATCCTCTGCTTCCTGATTCCTTCTGCAATAAATCGACAATGTCAAGTTTCATTTTCATGTCACTAAGTTTCCTTATTAACCTGTTTCTCTGTATCGAATATTTACTACAATTTAAAATGACATGTTCCACAGTCTCATCTTCCCCACAGTCACATTTCCTTGTCTGATGTTTCCCTATCAAAAATAACGATCTATTCAATCCAGTGTGTCCTATTCTAAGTCGAGAAATAATAATCTCTTCTCTCCTGTTCCTTTCTGATCTTCTCATTGGTCCAATTCTCTTTTGTATTTTATAAAGCCACCTTCCTTTCTTTTCTTCATTCCATAACTTTTGCCACCTCTCTTTTGCTTTTTGTTTAATTATACCCTTTATTTCTGTTATACCAAAACTAACATTAATGTCTACCCTTAACTTATTGGTACTCTCCTTAGCCATCCTGTCTGCCCTTTCATTTCCTTTTATCTCGTTATGTGCCGGAACCCAAACAAAATTTACCACTAGCCCCATCATATTTATTCTGTAAAGTGTTTGTTGTATTTCAAGTAATATATCTGGTCTACTGACTGACTGATTATTTTGCAAACTGACTAATGACGAACTGGAATCTGAGCAAATTATAGATTTTAATGGTCTTACCTCTTCCACCCATTGAACTGCTAAAAGCAAAGCTAGCGGAAAGCACCAACTGCTGACCACCTTCACACCTTCAACCCTCATTTAGTCACTTTTTAGAAACTTAACTCTGACGCACAGTTTTTGTTTCGCCACATACAAAGTCTGTTCATTAAATAAAATGATTTTTTAAAGTCAACCCGCTACATTTAGACTCAGTAGAGCCAGAAAACGTTCATAGCAGTGGGTCACATGACCAAAGGTGGACGCTTTACTGCAGTGGCGGTTCTAGACCAAAGGTTCCCAGGGGCCCCGGAGCGTGTTTTCATGGGAAAAAAATGGGCAAGGGATCGAAATACATTAAGAAAGCTGCATGAGGTTAATTTTCCATTCAATTAGATTTAATTAAAAACTATATGTCTTCCAACTGAAAATATTAATTTTTGGCTTGAAAATGTTCATTTGGATTATTGTTAAAATAAAAATAAAAATCCCTTATCACAGCAAAAAAGCAAATAAAAAAATATAAATATCTAAAAGAGCAAATAAAGGTATATTTGGAATATTAGGTCAATATACATTCATAATTTAGGAAATTTTAACTTAATTTAAGTTAAAATTACAGTTTTTCTATAAATTCAGAATTAAAACTTAAAACTAATTCTGCTGTAAAAATTTGCTTTTTTTAGTTATTTTGAAAAGAAAAAAACATTTAAAGATAAAAAATGGTATCCTATCTCAATACAACTGAAGTTATCACCTTATTGTCTTTAAATAATTAATAAAACAGAATTTTTTTAAAGAAAAAAAATTAAATGGATCCAAAGGACCTATCAGAAACCATGTTGGTTCCAGCAAATATCATCATTAGAATTTCTTTTAGTATTATGTCTTCGGTAAAGAGGTCATAAAGGGGACCAGGACATCATCTACAGGGGCACTGGCCCCCAGTTGGCTCCCGTCTAGAACCGCCGATGTTTTACTGGTAAGATCTGATTGCATGTGTTTACACCGATAGTAATAGATAGTCATTGACAGCGTGGGCGGTTCTAGACATTTGAGAGCTTTTCCTCTCTACTGTCACTACAAGCATGCTTAGTGTGAGGGATTGCCTTAAAGGTACACTATGCAACCGGTGTTGATTTTCCAGAAAGGCTCCCCCCAGAGGACGAAAGTAAAAGTGCACTGTCGTAAATATGCACAGCTGTTCTCCTGGTTTCTCCGTCAAGCCAGGCGCGGTTGTTTTGAGCTTAGCAGACAGGCGAACGCAACGAATGACTAACACAGTGAAAGTATGAACATGCATACAGAGAGAGAGAGAAACCATTCCAATGTTACAATCGCATCAGCAGAAACGCGAGGTCCGCGTCAGCCTTGCAGCCTTCTTTTTCTTTTAGCTCTCGCCATTCGGAAAAAGCTTGCCCGATGTTCAACCGTGTACGACTCCTCTCTCTGTCCGGAGCCCTTTTCCTCTTTCTTGCCTGCTCCGACATGGGCTTTCACTGTTTTCACGCTGGTTCCGCCATGATAACTGCACAAAGATCGCCACTGTGCTGGCAACGAGCATGCTTTTAACTGGGGGCGTGTAGCAGTTCTCGCCGTAAAGCAAGACCGACTCTCGCGAGACTTCTGAGCCTGTGGGTGCGGGCCGAGGGCTCCTGCAATTGCAAGTGCGGTATTTCCCCCACAGACCACCAGGGCGCCCGAGAATACCTTTGTTCAACCTGAAATGACTCATTTAATCATCCAAAACGTTATGGAGCACATTAATTAACTGAAAAATGTTGCATAGTGTGCCTTTAAAGTCAATGAGTCGATGCAATCAACTGGTTTTTCCACAGACAAACTGTTAATCAATTTGACTGGAGGATCTGGTGAACTGTAAAGTGCCTTGCGATGACGTGTGTTGTGAATTGGCACCATGGAAATGAGCTGAATTGAATTGCATATTGACCTATCATTCCAAATCATAGCTTTATGTGATCTTTTACATATTTATATAAATACAATTTTTTCAGTTTCATTTTTGCTATGCTAAGGGACCTTTATTTTGATTTTAACAATAATCCATATGAACATTTTCAAGCTAAAAATTAATATTTTAGTTGGAAGACATATAATTTGTATTAAAACTAATTGAATGGAAATTTCACTTCATGCATCTCTCTTAAAGTATTTGAATCCCTTGTCTGTTTTTTTTTGCTTCATGCTTTTCTGTGTGCCCATGAAAATACGTTGGTCTAGAACTGCAACTGATTGACAGTAAAATACTACTACTACAAAAAATCCTAATTTTTCTCCCCAAAAGTAACTCAAGTAAATGTAACTAGTTTCTACCCACGTCTGCCTGTGACCAGATTTGCATTAAGCCCTTGCTAATAAATGTTCACACATCTGTATACATCTATGTGTCACTATTAATCATTTATTGTTCTTTTGAATGGATAGAGTATTATTGCTTTTATTTTGAATTACCTGCAATGACGTTGCAAACTCCTTTACTGAGAAAACTCAATGTATAAGAAAAGCAGTTTGTACATTAATGTCAACTCCAGTACCAATACCTTCACCAGTTAGAATAAGCTCTGTTAAAGGAAATATAAACTTCTAAATGTCCTTAAAGTATGAAATTATTACATACTGTTCAATAAATGATATGTGTTTTTGATTAAAATTAATCTAATTTGAATTTGTTTTACTGGAGGCATCTTGTTTGTCAAAGAACACTACTGCCACCTACTGGTTTGTGACGTCACGGTGCGGTATCGGCTGTTGAGCAAGTCCCAGTGCTGTATCTGGTGTTTATAACAACACGCTATTATCCATGATGGCGACGACCAGTGCTCTATGCGAAGCAGAGAGTAACGGATTAATGACGTGTTTTTTCTGTGGCCAGAAGTTTGATGGCAAATCCTCCATTTTTAAGTTGGCAATCCAACGACGAACCCGTCCGTGGAGGATCAGGAATCGGAAAGGTGGAATAACTCCCTTTTTAACTATAGCTCTGGTGAATTTCAATAGTGAAGTCTTCTGGAAATCTTCAATAATTGTTTGATACCCTTTCAGATGTGTCTAGTAGTTCCCATTGATTTTGCTTGTAAAGCGGGGAGAATGGCGCTAGGCTTATCGCACCGTGACGTCACTGCCGGAAGATGTCAGGAGTGAGGTGTTACTATATTTGGGCAAAAATGGCCGCTCCCAGTGATCGCGATGAAAATTATTTTTTTTATTTTTATAGTGATCAACGCTAAATTCATTAAATCACTTCAAACATATTAGTTTCAGGTATAAATAATGACCCACTGGTTATTCCTTGCTGACCAGACTCTTCCTTGGAAATGCTCCAATTCTATCAAATAAATGTAAGAAGTTTAGATGAGGTTGTTCAGTAGCTAAGCTCTTGCAGCTGTCTTGACGTTTTACCCACAGGTTATATTAAGAGGGTTTTCCCTGTTTTACACCCTTTTCTCACTGGCCACCATTTAAAACGTGGAACATTTGGCTCTTAGTGGCACTAGGTACAGCTCACCGACACGTGTCTGCTGGGGTCAAACGACTTGGCAGACGACCTCTTGTTAAAATCAGCTCTGATCGCCATGGTGTGGGAACGCCAGAGCCGGGTCGACCCACTAAATTATGTGACACCACTGAACGCAACGTACAAATGTCAAAACACAACGCCAGTCGCCTCTGATCTAGCAAGCAAAAAAAACTATGTGTATTGTCTGTTGTGTTTTTATCTTTAATGGCATCTTGCTTTTTTTACTCTATATAAGTTACTAAAACCAGAATTTCCCTGAAGGAGTAATCCAAAGGGATAAATAAAGTTGAGTGTAAGTCTAAAATAAACATGGCACAGCAATGATGAGAGGGATTAAGACAGATAATAGAGAGAAACAATAAAGAATACTGACTACGCTCTGGCCTCCATTCATGTTGCTCTCCATTATTTACTTCCCTGATTTCCGTCACACTATCAACATCATCAATGCTGACCCAGTGTGATGCCGTCATCAGATACGCAGTGGTGGGGGACAGTAGCCATGCAGCTTTCCAGCAGTCAGACTCGGCTTTTCGGTCAAACAGGAAAAGAGCAAAAAGCCGATTGTTAGCAGGTCAACCCGGTTTTCAAAAAATCTGGGTTTTC